AGGGAACGGCATCCCCAGCCCCGGGCAGCGGCGTGCAGCGGGGGCATCTCTGAGGGTCTCCCAGCCCAGACCTTTCCGTGACGCTGTGACAGATTTCAGAGGCTGGGCTGCGTGCGCTGAGAAGACACTTGGAAAAGGAGAGAGGCAAAGCATGGAATAGAGTTGACAGGAAAGGAGGCGTGAAGCTGTTTGCAAAAAGTGGGGAGGGAGATGGGTGGCTGCCTGTAAGCTGGTAAGAGTATGTTTTTCAAGCAAAAATTAGAAAATGAATGGTTCTCAGAATTCAGATACTCTCTTGGTAAGGCAAAGCATAACCTGAAGCATCATACAGCAGTTTAGCATGAGGAATAATGGTACGATTTGCTGTAATCCACGGAAGATTAAAGGAATTGCACTTTAATTGTCTGGTAGGAAATGGCTAAGGTGTGAGTTTTAAGGCCTCCCTTGCCTTTCTTTTTTTCCCCTTTATCATTCATGGGGCTTGGTTTTGTGTTTAATCCAACAGCAGATAGTGGCTGAGGCTGCATGGGGCTGTGAAAAACAAGCCAGGCTGCTGGATTTGCTCTTAAAGAAAACGTCTTTGTTCAGTATTACAAATACCTTAGGCAACTCAGATTTCATAAACATATTTTATTTAAATACCGATTCAGTTTATAAATGCTTATTTTAAGACACTGCAGTCACACATGATTAAGACTCATTATTCACTTGTGAGTTTAAAAAAAAAGAGATCAACTTGCCAAAACCCAATGTCATTTGTGGCAAAACCAGAAACTCTGGTACTTATTTCATTATTTGAATGCATAATAGCCCTGCATTTTGGAAAAGTAGACTGATTATTTAGATTTAGAAAAAAATATACATGTAATTTTTCCCATGTTACCATTCCCCTTTCAGTCAAAGTATTTCTGATTCTTATATTTCTTCTCTTTCTCTTTTGTTCCTTACTAGGACTCCAGTGGATGTATCTTCTTGCCTCCTGGTGGAAAACTTGCTTGGCTTTAATGGATACTGCTGCTGCTGGTTGATCTCTGGAGACTTTACAGCTCTATACCTTTTGAGAGGAGGTGACTTCTTGTCACCTCTTAGGGTCTCAGTGGTAGTAGCTCTTTATCACTAACCATCTCTGGGGGAAAAAGAAGATGCCTTTGCCTTTTGGGTTAAAATTGAAACGAACTCGACGTTACACAGTATCCAGCAAAAGTTGCTTGGTGGCTCGTATCCAGCTGCTCAACAATGAATTTGTGGAGTTCACACTATCAGTGGAAAGCACGGGCCAGGAAAGTCTGGAAGCAGTGGCTCAGAGGCTTGAATTGCGGGAGGTGAGTTGTAAGTGAAGGCATAACTTTAGTTTTTGGTGCTGGATGACCTATGTGGTAAGTCCTCGCCATGTAGGGTGATCAGCTGCTGGAGCAGCTATCCTGTCTTCCCATCATTTCTTCACCTTCTGGTCTTTATGGGGACTTTGATTGCTCCTAAGCAGTTGCTAAAGTTGTTACAGAGTTTAGGGAATGTCCAAGGGGAGGAAATATGAGAAGTATCAGTGAATAAAAGTTTAGAATGCAACAAAAACAATGCAGCTGTTTTTTAAACATAACATTGCTGAAAATTCTACTTTAAAAAGCCCACAAAGGAAGGAAATCATTTCTACCTAAGCAATATGGTTAAAAACTACAGCAAGACTTGAGTCATAAGGCAGCACTTTATTTATGTGCATGTATTTTTTTTCTGATAGATTAGTGCTGTAAAAAGAATCTAAAGCACAAAATGTGATAAGTGTACCAGTTACCAGCTGTTTGTCTTGCTTGTTTAAATACCACAAATATATTTGCAGACACTGTCTTGGAACTCAGTCGTATAGACTGAGTGCTGGCCTTATGGTGAGACTTAGTTTGTGCTAGTTGCATTTGTAAATATCTGTTCAATCTGTTTTCCTCCCAGAATCTCCTTACTTGGTATTTTGAAGGATTCTTTTGGAACTGAAATTTACTCTACCACACATTTAGTGATTATTTCTACATCTTCTGTGTTGAGTGAATTCCTTCTGAAATGCTAAGCTTTGAAATGTTAATAGAAATCTACATAGATGATCAACATATGAACCAATGTCATAATTTTATAAAATTGTTAAGCACAGGTGGTTTGAATGCAGTATTTGAATGCTGTCCATCCTGGGTGAACTGACATTCCCCCCTAGAGTCTGAAAGGTTTAGATTAGTTGATTTTGGAGTAATTGAATTGTGACATGTGCACTTTGGGGGGCAGGAGAGAGAAAACTAGTGATACAAGTTTAGGGTTGCTAACATGGTTCTGAAAAACATGCTTTTGTTCTGTTATGTGGTCTGCCATAGAATGACCTTTTGATTATGGAATACAAATGCAGGATAAAAACCCTGGACTTTGGTAACCAAAATATGAGTAGTTACGAAAATAATTAATAATAAATATTTGCAATTATAACTATGATATTTTAAAACATTTTCTTTTTATTGTCAAGCAGTTGCAATTTTTGATTACTTTGCTCAAATATTGAACAAATATATTTAGAACTCAATCCTTAAAACATTTATTACATTAGAAAGCATGCAATACCGTAGGATCCCTTAGTGAGAAATGTTATATCTAGTAATTTCTTTTCATAAATGCTTTTTATTTTTTCTGTTTAAAGAATAATAAAAAAATGAAATAGATGTGAAGCCATTATCTACAAGGGTTTGTTTATTGTGGCTGTTTTCAACTGCAATATGCATTCTTGTAGAGTCTCCCAAGTATTTTTTAGTATACAATTATTTTGGAAAACGCAATTCTTTGCAAGGATATGCCTTCTTTTTTTAATCTTTCTCCTTCTAACAAATGGACAATCTAGCTACGCTTGTAGCCTTAGTGTTTGCTTAGAAACATCAGATATCATATATTTAGAATTCAGTTATTGTTGTGTGAATGGATTTTGTCCATTTTCTCTGTCCACTTTCAGATGTAAGTTCTAAGTCACAGGAAATACAGAATTTTTACTGTTTGCAAAATGCAAAGGCTTTGTCTTCCTGAATGATGACTACTAGCTTCTATTGAGCTAGTCACAGAGTGCTGGAGATGCAGTTTTGTCAGCTATTCTTCATTATCTCGTTCTTTGGAACCACTCCTAAATATCTTTTTAAAAACAAACAAAAAAAAAGAGAGATGCAATTCTCTCAATTAAGGGTCATATATCAGAATAAGGGAGTTGACAGTACACTCTTGAACTCTGAGCAGATTCCTTCAGTCATGCATTCTTGCATGGATTATTTTGGCAGGAAAATGTGTTGCAATAAAAGGGAATGGAAAATAGGGATATAAATTACTTTCCAGAGCTTGCATTCAGAAAAAGTTGTTCTGCCTTTAAATAGTCAGATTTGCCAAACAGATACTGGATCGTTCCTGGTGGCTTGCTTAGTAGAAAGTTTTCAGAAAGAAAAATGTGTTCAGCACTTTCATTAAATCTGCAAAAACAACTTTAGTCTTTGATACAGTAAAATACAAAGCATTTCTGTAAAAAGTTGCCTATTTTTAGTTCACTGAACAGCCTTAAAGCATGAAGTTGAATTCTAAGTGTTCAACATGAAAGTATGACTGTTTATTTAAATACTGAGACTGAGGACCATTCTCACATCCAAGGTATCAGTTTCAGATTACTGTATATGGCCTACACAGCTAGGACAAGCAGTTCCCAAGCATCTTCAAAACAGTTTACTGCATGAGGCATTAGGGGAATCTCTACCATTTTTTACACATTCAGTGGTAACATTTGTAAATACCTCTTTCTCTCTGGTGTAGTTTGGAATTACTTAATGGGGACAGTTGAACTGAACTATTTTTAATGGTGTGCCATCTTTTAAGATATTTGTTTTAACAGATCTTTATGTAAATGAGTAATCTTCAAATTATGCATTGCCTGGCTAAACACAGTTTTTCTTTTGATTTTCCAATTAGTACTTCTCAAATTCTGAATTGTATACTAGTACGGACACATTTAGGAAGTTTTACATATGTTGACAATTTAATTTTTTTATGGAATGGTAAACTTTATAGAAAAGTGATATGAATTCATTAAACTGAGTATCTTCTGGTACTCCTAGAGTGTGGCTCATCAGGAATGAGTATGTAATCCAGCTCTCTTAAACTGAGGAACTGGGGAAAGAAGTCAAAGGGAATAGTGAACATAAGTTACTTACATTTGTAGCACAGTCTATCTTTTATCCCATGAGAGAACTATAACCAAACATGATTTATGCAAAAAGGTGTTACAGAAAACCATTCTGGAATCACAAGTTTAGAAAAACTGCTGAGAGCTCTGCTGGTGAACTACCTTAAAAAGGACGTACAACCGTGCTAATCTTGCATCTAAGGCCTGAGTATGCAAATGAAATCCTTGAAAAGACAGAGATTTTTTCAAACATTGTAATATAGCTAGGTATGTTAGCTAGCTAGGTTTGGCAGGAGACATAGCTGTTGTCTTTCTATTGTTGATTTTTTGCTGTTGTTGTTTTCTAAACACAGCACTTCTAAACCACAGAGAAGGGGCAAATTCTGCTGTATAAGCAGTCTGACTTAACTGCAGATATGTGGTACAGTACGAGTATAAGAACCAATGGCAGGGAACTTCTGTGGAGTGTATGTGTTGAGTATATGGAAGTTCCTGTGTTTGTTTTGGACATGCAGAGGAAAAGGAACCAAGGTTATCTGGATCCTGAATAACTTCAAAGTTCTGAAACAGTGCTTCGGAAATGCTTGAACTATGCTGTAAAACTTTGCTCTGAACTTTAAAACCTCACTTCTCTTTCAGAGAAAACACAAAAAAATACCTTTAATTCATTGTGGTGGTTTCTTAAATGCGTTTTGCATATGAAAAGAGTGTTTTTAAAATCAGACCAAATGCAACCATAAATATTTTTACGTCTGTATGTATCAGTAACCATACTGACTGACAAATAAGAGTTGGGCCACGTCATGACAGAGGGATCATTCATGTAAATTATGATTATGTCTTGTATCAAAATATGACAGAATTTTAGCTGATGTTTGTAGAAATAAGAGAAGCAGTCCTTGTAGTTGAACTGCTGTGGTTACCTCTCTGAACCAAATTTTCCTTATAATTAGGAAAGAAGAAATTGACATGGAGGAATGTGTATAAGAATGCCAGTCTTCCATGTGTAATCTGATTAGTTTAACAGATGTTGCTTTATTGAAAAGCAAATTTAAATCCATCTGAAATAAATATTACTTATAAGAATGTGATAACTGTAATTTAGGAACCAAAGAAAACTGAGGAATGGAGCAGTTAGGCAAAAATCAGTAACTGTTTCAGTTAAATTCTTTCTCTGATGAAAAAAAATACATTCTGGTAAAAGGTTTGCACTCAGTCTTATACTGAGCAGCACAAAATCAAGGTTTTCCATGAAAACAATAGTGGCAATTAGGAAGCCCTTCCCCAATTTCTTTAGCATTTTTATAAAGTTAAGTCAGAATTTGAATATACCACTTAATTGCATTTTGTTTACCATCATGTTAGTGAATTGCTGTATGGTTTTAGACCAGTTTTGACAGAAGTGGTTTTCTTTACTTCTGAAGCAAAGACATTATCTTATTGTTTAGCATTTTTAGACTTCTTTGAAATGTGGCTTTTCCCTTTAGTAAAGTAATCAGAACTTAAGCCTCTGATGAATGGGAACATGATACTTGTAATGTCCGTGATGTGTAAGGTTAAGTCAAAACCAGTTATGTGAGTTCATCCTTCTCAGAGCCTTGAACAGTGGTGGGAAAAACTAGCATGCTTTTTTTCAAAAAAAGTACATTTCTGCATTTCTGGGCCATTTTGATAACTGACCTACCTCTGCCAAAGGTTAAAATATATCTTGAGCATAATGTTTTCTGTGCAGTATGAAGGTATGGCTCTTTAGCTTGTAAATTAGCTTACATTTGTCAAATGTCTTGATGAGTAGAATCTTCCTTGCCTGTTAGAAGATTGTTTATTCAAGATATATGAAGGGTCTGAAACACAGTGTATTGTGATTTTTACAATGTTTCATTTGAATAAACTAGAATACATCAGATTACCTTGCAACATATGGATTTGGTTATTTCTTATCCCTTTTGCTTTAAGCTATAGTTGGTAATTGCTTAAATAGCATTTGTGAAATCCATATTAGAGTTGTTAGGATAAAATAATTATGTGTGTGAGTGTTGGAAAAAAACATTTCAGTTATGAAAGAGCTAAGATTTAAGAATAAATTGTCTCTGTTCATATAGCCACTTCTGCAGCTACAGTTGAAGAGCTTGTCAGTGTTAGAGTAACAAAAACAGTATAGGCAAAAGTACCCTACAGTAAATAGCTTCAATATGGGGGAAAAGGGAAGAATTTTTGTCAGTGATCCTCCTATTTCTGCAAGAAGAATTGATCATGGTACTAAATAGAGAAGTGCAACTTCCTACTTGGTGGCTGGTACATGATGAAAGTCCCAGAGGTTTTTTTTCTCCACCACTTCCCAGAAGTTTTGGATATTGTACACTAGCCCATCCAGGCTGCTCCAAGCCATTTCTCAGCTAGAGATTGGGAGGTTTTGTGGAGGAAGTTGCCTGTTGTGATAAGAATGAAGATGTTGCCTGTTGTGATAAGAATGGAGAATTTTCAAGGCCTGTTGTCTCCTCCTGTAGCTCTTAACACTAGGCATAGGGAAAAGCTTTCATTTGGTATCTGCCAGTTGTGCTTAGTACAAGATTACTTACCCAGCTCTCCTGCATGTGATATATTCAACTGTGCTGTCCTGATAGCAGGAGCTGTTCTGTATCCAGGCATATAATACAGCTAGATGTGATGGAGCCCTTGGACTACCTGGGATTTTATGAGTTTGATTGCAGTGCTTATCCTTCAATAAGAGAAGGTGTTTTCAGCATTCTGATTAGTGAAGTCTTACAGTTTGTTTTATTTGTATGTATCAATGTAAAAGAGGAAAAGCCTGAAAATATATTTTGACTGCATTCTCCTGCTATTGTTTTATATTTTGCCTCAGATTTTAGGATGGGGATTCCACAGGTACCCTTGAGGCAGGTAGCTAAATGCATTAATTAGAAGGCACTGTATTAACTAATACATAACAATTCTCCTTTCAGCCTATTTGTAATCTATGACATATTTAGTAATATTTATAGTACAGGATATGGAAATTAACTGGAAAATATGTTATGAAATATGTAAGGTTGTAGTAAATTTTGAACACTGCTCTGCCTCAGGGGATCTCCAAGGGTTGCATGGTCCTGCCCTCTGCTCAGGAGGATCTTCAGGGGTTGCTTGGGTGAGTTTACCAGGCACCCAGGTGCCTCTAAGTATAGAGATTTGACACCTCTTTGGGCTATCTGTTCCAGTGTTTGGCTAGTCTTGTTGTGAAATTTTTTTCCTGATCTAATTGGAATTTCCCACATTGCAGTTTGTCCCCAGTGCTTCTCATACTTGCTGTGATTACTTCCCAGAAGACTCTGGCTCTATCTTCTCTGTCTGTGTCCGCGGTAATATTTTACTTTGTCTCTTCTGAGGCTGATCAGCCCCACTTCTCTGACTTTCACTATACATCGTGCCAGAAGATCTAATATAGTCACCTGCAGTAATGTAGTTTTGTAGCACTCATACCTGGTGAAACTCCTCTGCTTAGCTTAGGAAGTCTGAATGACTTCAGTGATTAAGTCACTCCCACCCGCTTGTGAGCTGTAAATACTGTGGGGCTTTTGCTACTTTTGTGTTCTTGATAGCTTTTGAAATTTTAGGGAAAAATATTTACTGTCTCTGCTGTCAGAAAACAAGTAGGTAGAAATTAAATGTGCAGAAATTATATGTTCTTTTTATTTCTATTTGATTTTCTTCAGAGGGATTGGGTCATGAATAAGTAACTAAAATAAACGAACCTCAAAGTAGTGTTAATCTTAACAGCTTAACATATTTTAAGAATTATGTCATGACATTCTTTTTAGCACTGGATGTTGTCCTGAGCTGCTAATAATAAAATGTTTTAGCAATGAATAAAAGTGGGTTCTATTTTAATCAGTGCGAATATTCCAGGGTGCATAAGCTTCTCTGAAAACTCACAGGATCAAATTCTGCCCTTGAAGTGAAGTGAAAGGTTTGCATAGAAGTCACAAGGCCAGCTTTGGTCTCTAGTATTTTGCATGGCTTTTTAAAAGACATGCTGGATTCCAGAGGATATTTTAAAATGTGGCAACATTTTTCTTAGTCTGTTATGCCGGTAACTGCTCAGTTCTGTGTGTAGGCAAGAAAAAGTGGTCAATGTTTGAAAGAAATAGATCTACTCAAGTGATCGTCATGCCTTAAAAATAATCTATATATTCAGTTTAAGTTCATGGTGTAGAACCAGGAGTATTTTTACATCAGACAGTTTGAAACCGTGGCAATGTTTGTGGTCTCTTCTCCTCACTGTCTCCTCACCTTCTATGAGGTTTAAGTACACCAAGGCTGCAAGTGAGTTTATTTAAACAATTGCTGTACTTATTTTGGGGTGTATTTTTAGTTGGTTTACAAATGTGTTTGTGTGATATCATCTATAGAAGTCTTTCAGCTGTAGCTCTTACCTTTGCTTTCAGTCTCTGCCATTACCATTACCCTTGCCCAGAATGTTGTGGTTCCACATTTTAGGCAGTGCTCAGCCCGAGGCTGATGTGTTGTCCTGTCAGAGAAGTGGGCTGGGTCACAGCAGAATGTCAGCATCATGGTCTGACTTTGGCTCCTGTGGCTGCATGCATGCTGTTAACAGTCTTGTGATGAAAGAGAAACACACCTTTTCACATACATTCCTCTCCTTACTCAGTCTGCAGGAGAGATTAGGGAGTAGTCAGTTATTCAGTACATTTTATCCTTCTCAGCATGTGCTATTGTAGTGAACATGGTATTTCTTTTGTAATGGTTTTTCTGTGGTTCTACTGCTGGGGTTTTTTCCCTAGTATCTTATAGAATTTAAAATACTGTCTTCACAATATCCTTCTGGGGTGGTGGTGGTTGTCATCTAATGACTGGGGGATTTAATCTTTCTCCTTTGGTTAAAACACTTCTAATTATGATATCTAGTTTTGCTATGATAATGACATTAATATTTCCCAGTCCATATTTATTTTCTGGTCCAGAACTGAAGGAAGTAAGTACTGTGGGAGCAGATTTTAGTCAGTTTAAACACAGTGGCGAAATGTAAATTTTTGTGGATGACTCTGTAGTTTGGATTTAGAACTATACTGTGGAACAAGAGAAAAATACTCTGATCCAGGAAAAATACTCTGATCCAGACTCCTTCTGGGAGAGGATCTAATAAAAATGAGATTGTGTTGCTCAAGATGCTGTTCAGTGGGATTTTGACCTTCCAGGGGTGCCATCCCTCAGCATCTCCCGGTGGTCTGTTCCAGTGCTCACTGTTTGTTGTGTTTTGGCTTGGTCAGGAGTGGCCACTCAGGCAGGATATCTTCCTGCTCTGCTGTATCTGGTCCTTTTCCTGCTCGTGCAGGGAGCTGTGTATATGCTTTAATGAGCTCAGCTTTGATGGACAGCTGTCCTGGGCTCTTTTGTCCTTCAGCATCCCATGTGAGCCTGCCTACCAGGTCCCCAGAGGAGCCATGCTTTGCTCTACTGCTGGCCCATGTCATTTTTCATTTACCTTCCCCACTTCCCTTAGATTTCCTGGCACACATGAATGCCTACTGCTAGCATCTGTAAATTGCCACAGCAGAGTTATGAATTATGAACTGTTTCCAAATAAAGAGTAGTTCTGGTACAGTTTTAGGTGGGGGACCTTAGGTACCTGAGCTGGTTACCTGGATGTAATGTCTGCTTTTTATGGTAAATGTCTCTGCAGTTCCCTGAAGTTTTCAATAGCCCATAGGCTGACTCAGTGTTTTAAAACATTTATTTCTAAGTAGCAAGACTTTAATACAATATATTTTATCCAATATCACAGTATTAATTTTTTTTATCATTGAAATACCTTTTTCAGATTACATATTTCAGTCTCTGGTATTACAATAAGCAGAATCAACGCAGATGGGTAGATTTGGACAAGCCTCTGAAAAAGCAGCTGGACAAATATGCCTCGGAGCCAACTGTGTATTTTGGAGTAGTGTTCTATGTGCCTACTGTTTCTCAGCTTCAGCAGGAGATTACCAGGTAAACCTCTTAGTATAAACTTCTATGTGTTTATAAATTTCAGCATTCTGAAATGTATAGTTTATTTGAAAGTTGTCTGCTTTCCACTGCCTTTCCTATTTTAGGCAGAATGTGTGTTCAAACTGTATGTTAATTTATCTTTGGAATAAATAAAATATGTGATAAACTAAGCAAGCAACTAAATGTTATGATTTTAGGAATCTGCTCAAACCTGTTCTAAGTAACAGGCATACCTGCGTGGTCAGACTTTTAATTGTTTTAGTCCCTTCATTGACTTTTGAATTTGTTTTTAATTTCCTTGACTTTTTAACTTGTTTGTTTGGTTTTGTTTTTTTTTGTATTGAAGAGCCATATTTTGCTTTCATGGACATCTATCCTGCACAAAGCACTTGCAGATTTTATTAAGCTATGCTTTCTTTATTTGTCTTTCAGTATTTCCTGTTCTTTAGTACAGTACATTGGCAAGCTTCAGGCTACTTTGGCTTGTGATTTTTTTTTTTTTTTTTTTTTTTTTTTTTTTTTTTTTTTTTTTTTTTTTTTTTTTTTTTTTTTTTTTTTTTTTTTTTTTGTATCAGTGAGCCATAAATATGGATGTTAGTTCTGGTACTATGGGTCTGTTTCTACTGTGAAACTGGGGAACATCACATAATTGTTGCTGACTGCAGGGGGGAGGTAAAATTGAGCATATATACTAGCCAGTTATTCATATGGGCCTGTACATTGGCTTCTAATGGCTTAGTGTGTATAGTTCTGATTTAGTGATTATTTTTAATTGGCAATTCAGTACAAAGCCCATAGCTGGATTACAAACACGTATTGTTATTTCAAAAATATGTGTTTATATTAACTAACCCATTTAAGCTAAAAACTTTAAGTTGGCCCTGCTTTGAGTGGGGAGTTGAAGCAGATGATCACTCAGAGGTCCTTTTCATCTTTATTTATTTTGTGGTTACATGAACCTGTCTCTCTTCCTGAAATACCCTGCCAGACACCTTTCCTGCTAATTGTGATAAGAATGCTTTTCAGTGTCATCAGGTGCAGACCTCTTGGTGCAGACACTGGTGCTGTTGTGTACTGCTCAGTGCTTGGCAGCTTTAGTTTTTGGTTTTATGTGTAATTTCTGAAAGGTTTGTTTTTTGGTTTGTTTTTTTTTTAAGACTGAAGTTTTGTGCTATTTCTCAGCAATTTTAGTGGCTTTAAAAATCTCTGGTTCCTCTTCTGTGTTAGTGTACTAGAATACATTAGAGTAAGATAAATACCGAGGTATTGCATAGGGAAGATAAATAGCCTGAAAAACCTTAAATAGTCTTCTCTGGCATTTATTTAAATAATATGATATTTATTCTGGAGCTTTAACAAAAATTTGCCAGTGTGCTGCCTGGTAGAAAGCAGGAATTAATGTGCCAGTCTTATGCTTGTGTCTTAGAGGATGGTACTTACTTTGATAGTAAGAGTCTGGGTTAGTCTCAGAAATCTGTGTGTTTTTACATGCCCGTTTGCTATAAATGAGATTGAACACGTTCAAGCAAATTGTATGTTTAATGTACACCAGGAAGTGGAAATGCTATAGATAAAAAAATATGTGCTCTGTGTGGGTAGTGTTAGGATTCTTTATCTATAAGTTTACTTTTAATAGCAGTTCAATGGAAAGAGCTTACCTTCTGTTTCTTGACTGGGAAGACTCATTCTCCAAATACCTTGGGCTTTTTCTTTTCCATTTTTTGAAGGTCTGGGTTTAGTCCCAGCTGTTCTTGTGTGTGCTGTATAGGGATGTTATGTACTGTCAGGTGATATACTGGGTTTTTGTAGTAGATCCCCAAGAGTATAATCAATATTTATAAATTATCAGTGTATTTAACAGGGCAGTAGCAGTGATGGAAGACAGCTGTCTATTAACATGAATAAAATTTATGTGGTGTTTACTTGACCTTTCTAATCACTCCCCTAGAGTTAACATACAGTATGAGGAAAAACTTTTTAAAACTAGAGTTATGGAAGACAAATCCCCTCCTTGGCCAAGTCTGTGTAGCTGTGATGGCAATTTTGAGGTGTTTTGGGCTCCAGATAGAAAGTTCTATGGATGGCTGAATGGGGTAGAAAAATTCAGGCACATAGTGGCTCAGACTGTGGACAAACAACACAGGTAGTAGTGGTTGCATGTATGAGAGATGATACAAGAAAAGAATAGATTAAAAGAAAAAAAAAATGCCTTGAAAGTAAGAACAAAATGAACTCAGAAGTTGTAATGCAGAAATGAAAATCCCTACTGGGATTGAGGGAATGTACATTGTTAGATCTATTGGGAGAGAATGCAGCAACTCAGCAGCAGTTTACTGAACATTGAAAGAGACAATAACAACAAATTTAAGGATTGAAGAGGAAAAAAGAGAAAAGAGGGTTTGGTAATAGATAGAAATTGTGTAGTTTCTTTAAGATCACTGATTCTAGAATGATACGTGAAAGTTAAGGGAGACAGGAGTTTTAAAAGACCTTGAAATCGTGAGGAAGACTACCCTCTACTCAAACTGGGGAATGCAGAGAGGAATAGGAAATGAAGGTGTAGTCTTCTCTCTCTTAAAATTTATGAAGTCTATGTTAGCTTTTTCTTTTTCCCCCCCCTTGTAGGTATCAGTATTATTTGCAATTAAAGAAAGATATCTTGGAGGGCAACATTCCTTGCACACTGGAGCAAGCAATACATCTGGCTGGTTTAGCAGTTCAGGGTAAGTAAGAAATTGTACCAACTAGCTAATGTTGCATTAGAAACTTTAGTGATGTATTTTCTATTGCCTGTTTTCTTTATGTCACTCAAGAGACCCAATTGATTAAGTTATGAAAGGGGCTTGCTCCTTAGGACTTTGTCATATGGGCTGAGGAGAGCAACAGTTGGATCAGTGGCCCTGAACTTGCTTCTCTCCAGTCCTCAGAGGTGTACCTGGGCATCTAACATGTAGTTTCAAGAGCTGGATTTTAATTAGACATTGGATTTCCTTTGGGGGCAAAGGCTTCAGTTGTCTGCCTACATCAACACATCCTTCCTCTGTTTCTGTTAATGAAGACTCTTTATTCTGACATATCTTCATAAGTAAGCAACTTTGAATATATTTGTGTTTCCATTTTTTATCCAAAATTTCCTATCATATAAGGTTATTTCAAGTTAGTGTGCAAGACTGTAAGCAGTTCTTGTGTTCAGATCACTTCTGAAAACACATTTCTGGGATAACTGTATGAAAAAGACAGCTTCATTTTTCTTAGCTAGGGTCAGATGGGATGGAGTATACATCATTCCTGAGGTTGTCTGCACTGATTGTGTTCAGTGTTCCTTGCAACGTGCTTGTCTGATACTAATCTCTCAAAAGTTTGTAATGGCAACAGCTGTGTTTACTGTGTTTGTATATTGTTATTTGTATATCATTCACAGTGAATGCCACTTCAGTACATCTAACAGCAATTGTAAAACTGCCAAAATTGAACAGGACTTAAAATCACTGGCAGTATATACAACCAAAGATTTTTTTTTTTTTTTTTTTTTTTTTTTTTTTTTTTTTTTTTTTTTTTTTTTTTTTTTTTTTTTTTTTTTTTTTTTTTTTTTTTTTTTTACATTGGTTGTATCACAGTAAAGATGATGATCATNAGAGCAACACAATCATATTGCCTGTGTAAAAAAGCAATGCATTTAACATTTTCTTCACTGTGTATTATCTATTAGCTGAGTTTGTCACAGAGATATGTGGCAGTTCCCTGCAATACTTACGAATATATGGCAAGGCATACAAGAATCCATCTACGTCTGCTTCAGCATAGATTTGTCTTACTACATTTTGGCAAACAACTTCAAACCCACCCTTCTCTTACCTTAGGTTTCTGTTAAATACTGTTACTAGCAAAAAACTGAATTTGTCTGAGGCAAACATCTCAGATCTTCCCATTGCTATTCTCTATTACTAATGCACATTACATGTTCAATTCTCCCTTGCTGTTCCTATGAAAAAGGTCTTGTCAAAAACAGATTTCATTTTTTCTGTGTATGCACAAATTAGTTATGGATGATTAACAAAGCATTCATTCTTTTATTTGCTTTGGCTGAGACTTGATCTGTGTTACATTCATGTGAGGGAAGCACTCAATTTTACGTTGATTAAATATGAAACACTGCACTCTTGATAAAAAGAGTTGTATTCAGAGCTGCATATTATACTGACAAAAGATGCATGTTCTTGGGCTAATAGTTTCTTAAACAAGTTTTTCCAGATTTTTAATTGCAAAAAACTTGATACAGCTGCTTTTTTTTTTTTTTTTTTTTTTTTTTTTTTTTTTTTTTTTTTTTTTTTTTTTTTTTTTTTTTTTGTTATATACATTGGTTGTATCACAGTAAAGATGATGATCATGTTTTCTTGAAAATGTGGTTACCATTGGACTAGGATAAATTGTATTAATGCCTTGTTTATATAACAGTGAATCTGTTTAATTCAAGCCAGGTTTTAATGGCCTTCAACTGAAAACATCTTGCTGTGTTATTTGTATGTATTTGGACAGTGTAAACATCTCTCTGCTCAGTGAGATGTTTATAGAAATCTTTCAATATAACCCTCTTTACAGATAGAAAATATTCATCCTTTTAGCTTTAACTTTCATTTCTTATTCCTGTTTAAGTGATGAACTGTATATGTTGAAAACACAATGAAAAAAAAAAACAAACCTCAAAAAAAGCACAGGTTGTAAATTAATGTGCTCCAATGATTGAGGTAGCTATACCAGGTAGGTTAGTAATTTTAGCTGGTCAATGAGCAGAAGCAGTACTTGCTGTTTCAAGTCAACTGGTTTCAAGAATGATCTGTATTTAAAATCAGTACAATAGTTTAATTCTAAACACTGCCTTATCTCAAGAGTTGTATTGGTGTAGTGTGTCAGAGGCACTCCCCTTTCATAGAAATAACTTCCATATGAAGTGTTTTTTCATTTCTTCTCAATCCACAAGGAGTGTTACCAATCATTCTGAACAAAGTAAAAAGATGGGATTTTTTTTTACCTTTTCTCTTTATAAACATTATTGGTTGGTTTGTTCTGTTGTTTTGCCTTATGATTGTAGTTCAGCAGGATGGAGGTTTGCTACTTGGAGAGCCTGCTGCAATTAGTTGGGTTTTGAATAATTTTGTTAAAAGTGTTTGAATCAAAGATTATTTTTTTTTTTAGCGGATTTTGGAGATTATGATCAGTATGAATCTCAGGAGTTTCTACAAAGATACGCTTTGTTTCCAGTGGTAAGTACTTTCTTTAAATTGCTGAATTTAAATTATTAAATTGACAAATTTAAATCCTTCTTAAAATTGGTAAATGCAAATAATTTTTAGGAAGCTTCTGTGATCCATTTTTCTGACTGCTCCCTAGGCTGCCAAATTTAGTAAAGGTTTTCTTTGAGATTGGAGTGAGATATGACACCTTATATTATGCAGAAACAAAGATGTAGTAAGATCTTTTCAATTTTATTCTATATTACACTTGAAAGAAGGTTGAGGTACAAATGGGAGATAGAGTAAAAACACTTCAAAACAGTGTTTGTGCTTTTGGGGTTTATTTGTGCATATTACAGCATCTAAGCTCTAAGACTAGACTCAAGGCTTGATTTGCACATGTAAAGAAATTATAACCATTTGATTTTGTATTTTTTTTTTTAAATTTTATTCCACAAATGCTATTTTACATTAAGGGTTGGCTACAAGAAGAAAAAATATTGGAAGAAGCAACACAGAAAGTTGCCTTGCTACACCAGAAGTACAGGTAACATATCTAAAGCTCTTCTAAGCTTAATTTAGGTCTTCAGTAGTTTCTGTAGCTCAGAAAGTTGTGAATCTTGAAATGCAGTTGGACTAATTGCACTTCCCATTTAAATGAGTCTTTTTTCTAGAGTTTTTGCTGAATGAAAATGAAAAAGAGAACAGAATATTTAGTAAAATAAATTAGAGGATTCAACTTGAAAAGAATACGGGACACAATTAAATAGTGTGACTTAGCCTGTATCATATTCCTAACTCTTGTTCATGTTCCTGACTCTTGTTCAAGTGAAGTTCTGACCCCAGTAAGGATGTTTGTTGATAAACAACACTGAGAGGTATTAAGGGCAGGAGAAATGCAGAGAGAGTAACTGTGCCAGAATGCTTATGAACTTAGGTAGAAGGGGGCTAAGGTGCAGTAGTCCAGGACAAAGGAAAGTTATTTTCTCTGTATCAGTTCATTAGTGAAAAATGTTTGTGACTATGTAAGTAATACTGAATATTTTCCCCTGTATTGTTTTAAAACAATAGTTTGAAAATTGCAGTTGCACTTATCTTTGAAATGCACTTGTAACAAGATTGGATGGTTCAGGTTCAGCAAAGAAAACTTAATCTTCATGACGTTAGGAAAAAGTGAAGAAATTAAGAGATTTATGATTGAAAAAGTATTGAGAGACATAACAATGAGCATGACAGGATTTTTCAGGTAGAAATGATGCGTTTTTTGAGATAACTGAGGTATGTTGGTGGGTAGGTAAACACAAGATTTTTTTAAGCCCTGTGATACTACTGCAGGTCTGTGAGACTGTCTTTGTCAGTTGGTCTAATTATAAAGAATTCTACCTTTACCTACAGATCTTGTCCTCATGCTTTCAAAGTATTACAGTAAAATAGTCAGCATTTAGAAGATGAAACCTTCTTTTCTGAAATATAAAATGCCAGACTTCCTAGTTCCCCTATAGCAATATAGAAGACATTCATGTCTTGAACATGTGTGCCACTGGTAAAGTAAGGAAATGTGGAGACAGTGCTGGATTTGATCAAGAATGTGATAATTGTCTGCCAGCAATAGAGATGGTAATATTAACTAGTAGTCTTTGTTGCCATTTACCCCTAAAGATGCCAGAGAGAAAGTTATTAGAATCAAAGTGTCAAGGCTGAGCTGAATATATTGGCCATTGGTGAAGATAAAAACAGTACATTTGATGTCTGCCTGGGTGTCCTGGGGATGCTTTTCAAGCTGATTGTTGTTTCATTTTTAGAGGCCTTACTCCTCCTGATGCAGAAATGTTATATATGCAAGAAGTGGAAAGAATGGAGGGCTATGGTGAAGAGACCTATCCTGCAAAGGTAAATGAGGTTTTCATCTTTGTCTAATTGTCCTTTTCTCCCTGTTTAGAGTGGTTACTTCCTGCCAAAAGTAAATAAAACCCAAAACACCCATAATTTTCTGCTCCAGAATTAATAAAAGCAGTTGTTTCTTAGGTAACTTTGCTTTTGAAGACTTTTTTCTCTACTTGCATAATTTTTTGCAATTTTTTACAGGACAGCCAAGGAAGTGACATATTCATTGGAGCATGTCTTGATGGTATCTTTGTGAAACACAAAAATGGTCGTCCTCCTGTTGTATTTAGGTTAGTATTGTTCTTTCATAGGATGTCTTAGTGAATTTCATATTTTAAGTTTGTTTCTCACAAGGAACAACAACTCTTAGACATATGTATTTATGCATTTGATAAACCTGAACATAGTCTCATAGTCATCATGCTACAGTGAATACTAAAGCCAGTGAGAATTTCTCAATGCATTACCTGCAAAAAGAATCTCTTTAAGACAGATCAATACTAAGACATGAATATTTAATATACAGTTGCATTGCAAAATATTTATTGAATCAAAAAGGAGCAATTCTCTGCACGTAGGGCATCTTAAATCCTGAGATTGTCATATCAATTAATACAGAAATATTCACTTGTGAAATTGTCCAGGAATTCCTTTCATATATTATATGTGGAGAGTTACATGATAATGTTTGTTTTATTATTTTGGATTCATACATTGTTTTAGTTTGTTATTGAATATTCTTATAGATTGTAGATGGAGCTCTGACTTACCTAAACACTTAAAATACATTCCTCACATGAAATGGCTTCCACTGACTTTAACATATATTGCTTGGGCATCTTTCAGAATAAAATTTTAAAAAAACATTTTGAGATTTTTTATAAAATTAGTCTTGGCAATTTAGTTTTTATTAAAGTAAGAAAGGGTTTATTCTTAGTGAACTTTAATCTTCTAGAATTGAATTTTTGACTGAATATGAACAGAAATCTTGAAATTCTATGGTCCAACAGTTACTGAAATTTCACTAGTGGTGATTCTCTGGGATAAGAGAAAGTAGCCACCTATGCTTCTTTCTGTCAGTAGTTTTGTTTAACAGGATTTAGAAATTCACTACTGTTAAATGTTCTTCAGAAAAATTTCTGTCTCACCTGTGATAGGAGAGCTGATGCTGAACTCTTTTTAATTGTCTGGTGTCATCAAACTGCCCTGCTCTGCTTTTCTGCAGCATTAAATAACAGATGTACTTAAGAAATGCACAGGGAGAAGAATAAAGCTTTGTACATGCACTTCACGTAAATTCTCAAAGAATAGTGGATGCAGTGTCTGTAAACATAGAAAAAAAGTTGCACATCGGGAAGCATCAGAAAGTATTTATATTCCAATTTCAGGATCCAATTTTCTGCTCTTTTGCTTGTTTGTGTATGACTGTGGGCAATTCCATCATGGATAGTAATATCATGTTATTTGGGTGGCAATAAAGCATAGACAAATGACCCATTAATATAATTTACAAAGACTGGGTTATGCTTGAGATTGGTTCAGGTAATTTCATAGTTGTGTCCACAAGGGCTTATGAACGAAGGCCTTTTGTTCTAAATCAAAATGGAGACATTAATATTTCTCTACCTCTTACACATGAGGCAATAGATATGGAAAATGCTAATAGACACCTCTATGTAATGAAAATGGGAGTCATATAAACACCTTTAGAGAGAGCCTATATGCAGGTCATGCTTTTTCCATGTGTTTGTGTACTGCAGAATATTCTTTTAATAAATATATTATACAGGTTTTATTTACACTAACATAATACTAATGGTTCGAGCTGAAGTTGCATTTAAAAAGAAGATGAATAAATGTATTTTATGCAATCTAAATTTTTTTTCATCTGTCAGTGTGTGAGAGTTCTAGAAAATGTGCATAATAATGCCTTAAAAGCTTTGTTTAGTGTAGGTTTAATTTTTTTTTTCTTGGATTGTTTTCAGGCGGTTGGGCCTTATTATTTTCTTGTTGATTAATTTTTTGGAATTTTTTTTTTTTTTAATAATTGGAAGAATTTCAAAGGGAAGACAAGTAATAATCTTACTGTACATATTGTACATCTTCCCAAGAGTTAGTCACACACATGTTTTCCTTTCAGCAGCCATTAATGGTATGGAAGTGATGGTCTCCAACTTGTTCAGATAGATTAATGAACTTTTCCACAGAATAATGAAATGTTATTTAATAGAATCATAGATTTATAGCATATACTGTCTTGAGAGGGACCCATCAGGACCATGGAGTCCAACTTCTGGCCCTGCACAGGACACCCCAGGAGTCACACCCTGTGTCCTGGAGCATTGTCCAAATGCTTCTTTAACTCTGTCAGGCTGGTGCTGCTCCCCACTTCTCTGGGTGGGGTGGGTCTTGCCCTGTGCCCAGCCACCCTCTGGGTGAAGCACTTTTTCCTGATACCCAACCTAAACCTTCCTTGACTCAGCTTCAGGCCATTCTCTCAGTCCTGTCACTGGTCACAGGATGGAAGAGATCAGTATCTGCCCCTCCTCTTCCCCTCATGAGGATGTTCTTTATCCACATTCTTGATGGTGGTTCTGGTTTGCAGTTGCATTTTTTGAGGTTTGAAAATCAGAGCTTGTCCAGTCATATCCTGTTCCTCTTGTCTGCAGGTGGCATGACATTGCCAACATGTCCCACAATAAATCCTTTTTCGCATTAGAATTGGCAAACAAAGAAGAGACAATTCAGTTCCAAACTGTGAGTACATTTTTATTTTTTTCTCTAATTCATCAGTTATTAAAAACAAATTAAGATTGATCATTTAACTCAAAGGTTAAAGGCTACTATCTATATATTTAACAGTTTTGAACTGTATGAGTGAGTCAAATGTGATTACACTGTCTTTGGCCAGCTTTCTGTGGGAAGGCATTAAAAATTGGACCTTTTATGTTGAGTACATTGAAGCGTCTGATTATGTGGTCATAAAAATTTTCATCCATTCCAGTAAAATTCCTAGCATGTTTTTTTGACTTGAATCAGTAGCAATTAAAAATAAATATAGCCTTAGAGCTTTGCTGGAGTGGGCCATGGCATTGCTTGGAGAATTAATTTTATTCAGCATCTACCAGTTGCTTTTGTCAAAAGGGAGCTGTTGACAATCCTATGGCAGTATTAACTGTAATTGTGTTAGTGTTACAGCTGATAAGGGTCTGGAGCAAAAGGCTTCTACTTTCAAATAAGTAGATAATACTTTTTTCATAAGTGTAAGAAAATTGTTAGACTAGAGAGTATATTTGGGTCTGCAAAGTAGAGTTGTAGGGAAAACTTGGTGACATTAATAAAGTTACATTAAAATTAAATCAGTCAATGGTATTTTAATCTTAAAAATTTCAGTGGCTTGTCTGAAAGCAAGTGAAGGGTATAAATGTTTGACTTAATGCAAATATTGGGTTTTGTTTTTTTGGCAGGAAGATATGGAAACAGCAAAATATGTGTGGAGGATGTGTGTGGCTAGACACAAGTTTTACAGACTAAATAAATGCAGCCTGTAAGTAGAATACATTAGCAAAACTCTTGGTGCCCTTGCAGCTTCCACTGGGAAGTGAAATCTCCCACTCCCTCTCTAAAGTCTTTACTGTCCTCTTTAGATGACTTGGGTTCATTTTCTTAATCTTTTTTGAGAAAATACTTACCATCAGTTTTTGAAATACATCCTGAAATACATCAGAAGGCAATATTAAGTGCTGAAATCTTACCATAAGTAATAATGTTTGGCCTTTGCTTCTGGATCACAGTGCTGTGAGAGACTTCAGTTGCTTTGGGGTCTAATATTGCTATAGTTTGTGAGCTGCTGGAACCGGCAGGGTTTTGGCCTGTGTTTGGCTGAACTGCTCTGAAAGGACACTAGAGGCTTTAAAAGGGCGGGCAGTGCATGTGAAGCACTCCTGAAATGTGCTGGATTGACAGCTAAGAGGTATGTGGTTCTTCAGATATCCATGGAATCTGTATAGCTCCAGTAGCACCAGTGCAAAGTAAATTTAATACAATTCATCAAATTAAATTTAAATGGGCTGGTATCCAACTTGTAAATCAATGGCTGGAATTTGAGCTACTTTACTGGAACAGCTTTCCTTCAGTTAAGTTTCTTCAGTCAAAGAACAGAGAATTAGACACAGTGAATAATCTGTCATTGTACTGGTTCCCATACGTTTCACTCCTTTTCATACATGGGAAGATAGATGTTTGATATCTGCTGAGGCCTGTGGAAAAATCAAATATTTTGTGCCACATGTGACTCAGTGTGTTTAATGCTAATTTATTTGAGAAGTAAGATAAATTTGAAATAGAGTAAACCACATACCTCAAAGCTTGTAAACTTGACTGTCTTTTGAGAGTGATAAGAAACATTGATAGAAGTAGTGTGTTCATGGGACTTGCGCATTTCTGTCTAAGTAACATCAGATCAGTAGTTCTATATTTAATGTCTCTAGAATTTCTTATTGTAACCACAATGTGGCTTTACATGAGGTCAAGTCCTCAAAAAAACTTTTCTAGTTATTTCTTCTCTTAATATTTCTTGTCATCTGGTCCTGTAGCTGAAAACTGTCTTATGCATGCCTGTATCAATTTACGTTTTTTTTCTAAATCTGTACATACCTTGTCTTTAGAGACTCCTTGGACTCTCCACCTGAGGAGGGCTCCCAGAAATCTTCCCTCATTCTTTCCCTTCCACGCTTTCCAATCCTTTCTCGTCCTTCACTTCCCAAAGGGTGAGCTTAAAAACATCTTTCTCACTTAAAAAATAGCAGTTTTCTGCATTTGTATCATGCTATCTTTTGACTTGTCTTGCTATGAGATGCAGAGCAGAGGTGCAGTGTAGGGTGGGGGGAAAAGGAGCTTAAACTTCAGAACTTTAAGTCTGGGAGCCAATCCACAAATTATGAAAATTCATTACCATTAGCATCAATGTTTGAACATACAAATGCTAATGCAGTATAGTAATGCTCTACAGTTCCTGTAACATCTGTCCCCATACAGTTTTATGTCTGACTTGTAGAACAGGCAATGTGTAGAACAGGAGATTAACTGAGATATTTTGATCTTAGGTTTTTGATTTTGCCTTGTGATGGGGGTTAATGAGAGAGACTCGTGTGGAAGACTAACACAGGCCTGGCTCCTGGAAATGTAGAGTGATCTTTAATTGAATTTGGGAGTTCTTTCTGATTTTTGAAATAGGTCTTGCTAAGAATAATTTCTTACCATTAAATTTCTTCTGTAGGCAAACTCAGCCAGTTACAGTGAATCCTGTTAGAAGACGATCTTCATCCAGGATGTCTATGGTAAGGAAAGCAAATAGCTTTATGTTTGCATTTTTATGGATTTCAGTTGACTTTGAATCAAATATTACTTCCCCTCAGTGAAATGAAATGAGCAGTGAAAAAGATGAGTATCTAAATAGTAAAATTAAAACATTTTCAATGAAAAATATTTTAAATACCTCTGTTTTCAGTTTGAACTCTGTCTCTAGGTGACTCTTCTAGATGTCAGATGGCAAGACAGTCTTGGGTTAGTGGAGTGTAATTTCAAGGTTTTTCTCCTGGTTTTTAAATTATTTTTTATGTGACCTCAAAGGACAAACTTACATTGCAGATTTAGAGAAATTATTTAAGACTAAGACTTTGTATGTGCTTATTTGTAGTATTATACACATTATAATATAATATAGTATATAATGAACATTATTACTATGTATACAGTATTATATATAATGTTTATATATACCTATATAAAATGGTATATATTATGTATTTAAAAAAGTCAAGAATTCTTTTTAAAATGAGTAATCAGTTTTTAACTAACAGTAAGATGTTTGCTTTTTTAGCCCAAGCCTCAGCCTTATATGATGCCCCCACCACCTCAGCTGCATTACAATGGTCATTATAGTGAACCATATGCAACTTCCCAAGGTAAGTTCATAAAGTCCATGGCCACACTACACAATTTTAGAAGGAAAAAACGTAATTTATATTTGTAGCTACTTTAGCTATAGCTGAGTAAATAGGTGAATATGGGGTAGGTTTGTACTAGAACAGTCATTGAAGTGCTTGCTGCTACTCTAGACACGTAGGCTAATGTGAAATACAGTCATGGAATCACAGAATTATTTAGGCTGGAAAGGACCTTTAGGATCAAGTCCAACCATCAACACAGCACCCTCAAATCCATCAGTAAACCATGTCCCCAGGTGCCACATCTACAGGTCTGTTAAATACCTCCAGGGATGATGATTCCACCACTTCCCTTGACAAGCCTGTTCCAGTGCTTCACCACTCTTTCCAAGAAGATATTTCCTAATATCCAATCTAAACCTCCCCTGATGCAACTTCCCTGAGGCCATTCCCTCTTGTCCTGCCACTTGTTAGCTGGGAGGACACAAACACACTGCAGCCTTCTTTCAGATAGTTGTAGAGAGCAGTAAGGTTCTTCCTGAGCCTCTTTTTCTCCAGGATAAACAGCCGTGGTTTCCTCCACTGTTCCTCCTCCATATCCTCTCCTATGGGAGATGGGCAATTCTAGTTAGGAGAGCATGTACAGCAGCTGTAGACTGAGGAGTCTTGTATGAGTTTAAGCTGACCTTTGCTTTTTCTGGTTCATATATCAGACTGGTATGTTACAGCATTGTGAGATCCTTGTCAATATTGGTCTTAATAGCTGCAAAGAGATTGTCCCAACAATTTACACAACTAAAATTTTTTTTAAAAAATTAAATCCAGAAGGCAGGAAGAGAGACATTTGTCTAAGTTTGCTAGACTACAAGGTGTAGATGAATTCAAAGTCTAAAGAGGTTTGCAAGTTATGGACTTGGTATATATTTGATTGAAATAAAGGAAGAAAAAACCCCAAGCAAACCCTAACTAACCTTCTGAAGCAATGTAGACTCCTTATCTTAGCAGTTTACAGTAGAGTCATGGCTGCTTACTCTCATTATTTTGATTGTTACACATTGTGTTTTTAATTAACAAAGTTGCTGCCCTGAAGAGCTGAATCTAATATTGTACAAAGTCTCCTCAAGTTTGATAAGAACTTTTCAGACCTACAAATGTGCTGCTTAAGTAGTACTCTAAAAGGCCAGCTCACTTGGAAGGGAATAAGCACATTTTCTTTCTAAGCAGAGTTACACAGGTCTGAATGAAATACAGGTATTCAGCTACATTCAGAATGTAACCGAATTCTTTGCAGTTTAGGGTTTTAAGTATTGCTGGGTACTTGCTACTAAAAGAGTCCTATTATTGAACATTTTTTTTCATAAAACAATTTTTGATTGTCAGCAAATTCATTAACCTAAGTGTGGCATTTATTTTGGTGAACCCAGACAGTTAAATCATGAAGGCTTCTACAGTAATGACTGAATCTGGAGACTGCCAAATTGTACATCCAATGAAACAGTAATTAAAATGATTAAATATGTCTTGGATGTATAAACTGTTAGAGCATTTTCTTTACAGTGTAGGTATATATATGTGTGTATGTGAACAATATGTGGTGGTAGTTTAAACTGCCTCCAAAATTTCTAGAGAAAAGTTAATTTGATTTTTTTGAGGTCTTGTGGTTCTATATCTACATATATCCTGAAGGAGTAGAAGAGAGAAGAGCAAGGGGTTTTGTTTGCTTGTTATGGGGCTGTTCTTAGGTTTTTGGTGGTATTTTTGTTTTTCTGTTGTGTTTTTTTTTTCTTTCTTTGCTGTTTAAACCAATTTCATTAGTGCAAATCCTAGTATAGACATTAGTTTTTTTAGTGGTGTGGCTTAAGGTTTATATGGATTTTGTTTATCTTGGACTGAAACTTAGGAAGCCTATCCTAAACAGAAGAAATAATTCTTAAACAGATAGTGTTTTCCATAGGGATTTACATGACTGAAATAAACATAGTACATTATTCTGGTGTATATACCTTGGGTGTCAACAACAACAAAAAAGCTGGAATTTTGGTTTGGGTTTCTTCCTTCCCATTTCAACACATAGCTAAAAATAAGTGAGGTTTTAAAAATCACAAACATTGCCTTAGCTACATCTTAATAGAGGATAGCTTTGTTTGATGTCCTGGACATAAAGATTGTTCTTAAACTTTGCTTGCAGATAACCTCTTTGTGAGCAGTCAGAATGGATACTACTGTCACTCTCAGACTAGCTTGGATAGAACCCCTCATGACTACAGTGGTCGGATCCGCAATGGGAGTGTCTATAGTGCACACAGCACAAACTCCTTGAACAATCCACAGCATTACTTGCAGCCATCCCCCATGTCCTCCAACCCAAGCATTACTGGAAGCGATGTCCTCAGAACTGATTATGTCCCATCACACAGACACAGTGCACTAATACCACCTTCTTATCGTCCCACGCCAGACTATGAGACTGTGATGAGACAGCTCAACAGGGGGATGGTGCACACAGATAGGCAGAGTCATTCAATGAGAAATCTTAACATCAGCAACTCATACGCTTACAGCAGGCCTGATGCCTTAGTTTACAGTCAGCCTGAAATTCGGGAGCATGCCCACTTTGCTGCCCCACAGTCTAACCATTATCCATTTAACCTGAACTACAGCTTCCACAGCCAATCCCCCTACCCCTATCCTGCTGAGAAGCGCCCAGTTGTCGGGGCAGTCAGTGTGCCTGAGCTGACAAATGTGCAGCTCCAGTCTCAGGATTACCCGGCACCAAATATAATGAAGACTCAAGTCTATCGGCCGCCTCCCCCATACCCGTACCCAAGACCTGCAAACAGTACTCCAGACCTTTCACGGCACATCTACATCAGCAGCAGCAATCCTGATCTCATCACAAGGCGAGTGCACCACTCTGTCCAGACATTTCAGGAAGACAGCCTGCCTGTGGCTCATTCTCTTCAGGAGGTCAGTGAACCTCTGACATCGGCACGCCACGCTCAGCTGCAGAAAAGGAACAGTATTGAAATAGCAGGCTTGACTCCCAGCTTTGAAGGAATAAGAATTAAAGAGAGGACCATGTCAGCTTCTGCAGCAGATGTGGCTCTTCCAAGAGTTATCTCAGAAGGGTCACAGCCCAACATTCTGATGGAGAGAACGAAGCAAAAAGAAGCTGAGCAAGAAGAATGTGTGAACTGTGATCACAAGAAAACCCTTTCAGATGCCACTATGCTGATTCACAGTAGTGAGGAAGAAGAAGAATTTGAAGAAGAGAATAAGGCCAGTACAAGTCTTTCTCCTCTCCCTGAAGATCAAACACAACTTTCATCTGTTATGGGAGGTTATTCTCATGATTCAGTACTAAACTACCCTTATAGCTCTGTTGCTTCATCTGCTGGCCCTTTGCATATCCTTGAGCCTAAATTACACATCACAGAAGCAGAAAAGAGAATGAAAGATTTGAGCCCTGTTCATTTACTAGTAGAAAGCCAGGTACAGAGAAGAGGGGAAGGACTGCTTACTCCATCTATGTCAGAATCTGATCTTACAACATCAGGGAGATACAGAGTAAGGAAAGATTCAGTAAAGAAGAGACCTGTGTCTGATCTTTTGTCCGGGAAGAAGAATATTGTGGAAGGCCTTCCCCCTCTAGGTGTAAGTGGATTCTATTTGTCTTGTTTTGGGTTGTCTGTAGCAGTTGATTGTTGTTTTTGTTTGAGATTTGGGGTTCTTTTAGTCAGTCTGAGATGCTTTTAAAACATTTAAATTAAAGTTACCTTAAACTTGACCTTTATATTTCTACGTTTCCCTGGTTAACTTTGATTAGCTATCTTTTATCCCCTTCTCTGCCATGTCTGAGTTCTGTTTGTTTAGTTCCAACCACACAAATCCAGCTGTTCAATCTCCATCCATCAGAAAATCAACCTGGCTAGGACCTTTAGAAGGAGCTAATTTAAAATCAGTTCTAGATCCCTATTCTGCCCTCCTTCTTATCTGGAGCAGAAGCAACTCTTTCCATTCAACTTTCTTATCTTTCTCTCACTGAAGAATGATATGTAGCTGAAATGTTTACTTTTTTACCTGCTTCTTGACCTAAGAGGGAACCTGACACCTTAAGGAATAAATTCTTTCCTTGCATTTGCTTCTTTACTTCATGCCTTCCTTTTTTCCTATCCTCTCCCTTTTGCCTTCTCTTCAAGCTGTTTTTATCCCACTGAAGGTATTTCTTGCTTGCCATATCTCTTTCTCCTACTCCAATCTTAGGACACCATAAATAGTAAGAAAACCTGCAAGTTTCACCATTCCCATAATTCCCACCTCATAGAAACATCAAGGTCTGTGTGGACTGCACAATTTCACTGGCACTCCTTAGTGCCCAGTTCTCTTTAAAATATTGTTCAGTTTTATGTAGTTTGTGGTAGATTTCAGGTGCTAATAGAGGAAGACCATTTTATATTATTATTTTGCATTTTAAAATTGATACCTGAGTTAGTGTCAAATAGCTTTCTGCACAAATTAAAATGTAGGGGAGCTGCTATATAACTTGTACTGCTGTGATAACAGCAGATACTGCAAAAACTAATCAGTGCAAAAGCTATGTATTGAAATAGTTACTACTTTCACAAGTTTTTGATTGTTAGATGTGCTATACATGGAGTTGAACACAATGAAATGAACCTCCATCAGTTTAAATTCATTTTATAATTGTGTATATTTTTCTACATTTTTTTTCTCCTGTTTTTTTTAGTGTATATATATAGGGGAAAAAAGGAATACCTTCCTCATTGTGTTCACATTTAGATAGTCACTTAGTATTTGTTCTGCAAAAGATACATTTTCAGACAGTAATGTGTCTACCAAAATCACACCCTGCTTTTCCTTTTGACAGTTAATTAGTTATGACATGTTCCTGTCAACTTTTAAATTAAATTAATATTAGAGCTTCTTCATTGGAAATGTTTGTAACATAGTTTTTGGTTCAGAAACATTTAAGTGTTGTTGCATAATACAGAAATGTACCTTTCTGTATTCATAATGGAGGTGAATAGCCCCAACCAATGCTTGCACATTTTGCTTTTCAATGAACTTTTATTGTTTTGTTTGTGTTCACTTCACTTTCAAATGCAGTCTCATCCTGTTAGCTTTGTCTTCCTATTTCTTACCACCATTTAACTTTTGAAGGCATTGCTTATCATCCAAGCAGCTTATGCACTTATATTTTCAGTGTATTTTTGTTAACAATTAAACTAAGCAATGGTAGGAATGATGAAGTTTCCTCTTACCCTTTTTAAAAGAATAATTTGAATTTTTTTTTTTTTCATAGAAATCCCCCTTTGATATTTTTCATCAAATAATGAATGGAATTCCATAATTTAGATTCATGGCCCGGTCCACTGTCTGCAGTTCTGTGTTCATGTTTTGTATGTCAAGTTTGTTGCAAACTTAGTAAAACATTTAACTATATCCAAATATCTTAAAGGCATATGGCATTGCCTGCTTGTAGGGAAGAAAAGTGCCTGCAAACTGAATAGTCTACTAAGGAATCATTTTTATGTATTTTTGGGTTTGGGAAGTGATCCCAGGTCTGTTCAAGAATGTTAAGTATCCAAAGTTGCCACCTCACACCCTCAGTCATGAGCTTTGTAGAGAACAATATTTGTCATTCTCATGCAGTTTCATTAACCTGTCTGGAATGAAGACAGACCTGTGTTGTGTCCTTGGAGGAATGTAGTCCCACCACCCTAATCTCTCACTGCAGTGCTTATCAAAAAAAAAGGTCAGAGCTGTTCACAGAAGGGGCCAGAGAATTATCTTTTGCTTAGTTGAACTCATCTGGTTTCTGCCTTATAACTTCATCAGATATTTAAGAATATTTACAAGTTTTAGCTTTTCTTTTGCAGGGTATGAAAAAGAATAAAAATGATGCAAAAAAAATGGGTCCTCTGAAGCTAGCTGCCCTAAATGGACTGGCACTGACTAGAATGCCTCTGCCAGATGAGGGGAAGGAAGAACCAACGAGAGCAACTAATGATGAACGAGTATGTTGAAGTTTTTTTAGTGCTTGATTTACACTAGCAATTTTTCAAAATTACATGATTATGGATGACACATTTTATTGACTATAAAATGCTTCACAATGCAAATTCTGAGAATAGAAACTAAATAAAAAGATTCTAGATTGACAAGTCATTGCTAGAAGTATTGGGTGTCATCTTCTTTAAGATGACAGTGATTCAACTATAGTTTACCCTTTAAACATACAGGAAGTGAATTAACTAGTACCTACTGATATATTTTTGTGCAACTCATCCTGCTTTCTCTCTTAATTTTGGGTTTTCCAGAGTGAAAAAGGTGTGAAATTTAAAATTCTGAGTGTGAGATTGATTTTATTTGCAATTATTAGTTATTTGTATGGTGCTTAGAGTAAGTTTTGCAGTTAAATTGCATCCCCAGAATACAGCTTATGCAGATTGTATTTTTCTGTTTTGTTCACATAAAGCCCATAAAATATAGATGGAACTTGTTTGATCTGCTGAAATTTTAAACTCAGTAAAGGGTGATCAATGAGAGGACATCAGGTTCTAGCATTTGAGGATCATTCTTTGAGAAATATAAGACTCCATCAGGTTGTGTCAGGATAAAAAAACGTAAGTCAATCTGCTTCAGCCTGTCCCATGTATCATTCAAGAAGTACAAGAAAGTGACATACTGTCCATATTCAGGCTGGCACAGGCTATGAAGAACAGTGCTGCCATCACACCTCTGACCAGGGAGCAACTAGATACACCAAATTTCACAGCGATTATTGCCCATTCTGCAAGTGATCTCTAGAGAATCCAGTTCTGAGCATGGCTGGGCATCCTCAGCTGCAGGTCCCCTCTAGCTTAGTTTTGTTTCTAGTGACTAGGAATCTAATCTAGGGATTAGAACCTGAAGGAATAGTCCTACTCTCACCAGCTGCAGTTTAAATGAACAGACCAAGAAAATTAATTGCAAATCACTCAGTAATGTGTTGAACTACATATACATTGCTTAAGATGCTAAGGGACAAAAATGAACATTGTGTTACTGAGATACAGGTTTACTGAGATACCTGTGCTGGTTATTTCGTCTTACCTAGAGCCATCATCTCTTTCTGGGTTGACCTTTACTGGATGCAGCTGTGTTTGTATTCAGCTAGCTCTGCCCAAAGCAGTTGTGCCAAAGAAGAAACCATGAAGTCAAGAAGTGACAGAGTAATGTCACTACACTTCCTCTTCAGGCAGTCATGTAGAGGTAGAATAAATACTGTGAGATTGGAGTAGTTCCTAAAACAGCTGAGAAGAGGCAATGCAAAGTAGATATGTGACATAAAGGAAGCCCAGAGTGCAGGTATTTTAGAAGATAAGTTTAGTGTTGATTCAGTGCCTGTTTCATTGCTCAGCTTCATGCAATTATCAGTTTAAATATGTGAATTTAACCTAAAGATAATAAAGGCGCTTGTGCAGTTGATGTATTGCTGTGCAAATTGCATGTGATGGAAATTTACACCTTCCTCTGCAACATTTGGCATACTTACTTGATATAAGACACTTCTATGACCTGATACCACAGAGCAGTTGCTGTAAGAATCTGGGGACATGTGACATAGATTAAATTTTCTGGCTGAAGTCTTACATATTATTTCTCCTTATTGTTGGCAAAGAGATACAGAAATTCCAGAAGTGTCTTATGATTTAGCAACAACTTGGTTTCAAAAGAATAAAGGGGAGGAGGGAGTATTTTATTAAATAAAAAAGATTGAATTATACTATTAGAAAAAATTCTGGGTTTATACTTTAACTGCAGCAAGTTTCTAAGGCTGCTTTCCTGCTGTAAGCAAAATTTAGTTTTCTTCCATCCAAACAACTACGTTTGTGAGGTTTTTTATTATTATTTTTGGGTTTATTATAAGGTTAGAGGAGACCTTTCAAATGATGTAATCCAGCTGCTATGTTGAGCAGGTTGATCAAAGGTATTTGAAGCAGTATGCAGTATGGTATAGCTGTCTTGTTGGCCAATTTTTTTCTCCCCATATGGGCTGTCTTTACAGAAACTATGAAGAAACTTTTCCTTTACCAGCAGTATCCATATAAATCTTTGTGACCTAATGAAGTATAACAGGCTGCTTATTTTTCACTTGAACAAAATTCCTGCCGGTTAGGGGTTGCCTCTAATTTATTCTGGTATGTTTGTGGAAACATTAACAGCTGGAAAAGCATTGAAGAAATACGGAGGAGAAGAAAATACATACATTTTATCCTTCATGAATTCTCAGAATGTGACTTTGTATGGCTGGCTGTGTTCTGTGTTGCAGTGCAGAGCTCTGGAGCAGCGGCTGGAGCAGGGGATGGTGTTCACCGAGTACGAGCGCATCCAGAAGAAAAGGCTGATGGATGGCGAGTGCTCCATAGCTCGGCTGCCGGAGAACGCCGAGAGGAACCGCTTCCAGGACGTCCTTCCTTATGATGATACCAGAGTGGAGCTGGTCCCAACCAAAGAAAATAACACTGGTTACATCAATGCATCTCATATCAAGGTGAGAGAAATTTCCCAGTTTGTGTGCTAACTAAAAATGAATTTGGCCATCAATTTTTGGTTTGGTGAGATCAGTGACAATCCCTCCATTTCTCTCTCTTTTCTTCTCCAGAAGTTTCTTATCACCTAGAATACTGGAGGGTTCATTATTGGAGTGATCTTCTGCATTTTGCTTCTGTGTTGATTTGATCTACTGTCACTTTTCTGTGTTCTCTCTCTGGGGATTGTTGCTAACAGAAGGAATGTCCATTCTTCCCAGAGCTAAGGAGGCAAATAGATTTAAAACAAACTGGGATCCTCTGCAATGACTATGATATTGTTGAGCTACAGTGACAATGATTGTTTCTTCTTTTTCTGTACTCTCAGACAGTATCCACAAGCTAGCTAGTAAGCTAGCTCCTAGCTTAAGCATTTTTGGATGGTTAGAACCAGGGGGAAACTGACTTTTTTAAAACTTTCATCTGCCCTCTTTCCCCATCCTTAACTATTTAAGCTATGTTTAAAAGAATTTGAAGGGTGACTTCAAGAACTTTGAAGGCACTTCATTCATTTTTCAATATATTTATCTGCTCTAAGTGCAACTACAGTTGACTTCATGCTTTTTCTGAAAAGAGTTGAGATTGTCAAAACAGCACTTGTGTTGCTGTCTTTTTTTTAATAAATCTGTTTGTATACCAACATGGCATCATAGTTTCTCTGCTTCATTCACAAATGTTGACCCATCTCAAGCAAGATAGTATTTTTTCAAGAAACAACAACTGGTACTGAAATAATATTTACAGCACCTGAGTATGAATTTGCTAAAATACCTTAATTTCACAAAAGAAAAATAGAATTTTGTTTTCTCAGTTTTACATGATGCTTGTGATATAAAATATATTTATTTAGCTATGAACCTGTACGATTGTGTCTCTTGTGCATCTAAGATGCAGCTAAAAATGGGGCAGCTATAACTCACAATGGGCTCCTACTTGTGTGGTGCAGTCTTTTTTCATTTTGTGGATCTTCAAATGACTGATGTTAGAGCTGGGGAGAGGGTTTTCAATAGTTACTAATTTAATGTCTTTATTTTTACAGATCTCTGTTGGTGGCATAGAGTGGGATTATATTGCCACGCAGGGCCCTTTGCAAAATACATGTCAGGATTTCTGGCAGATGATCTGGGAACAAGGGATTGCGATCATAGCTATGGTCACAGCAGAGGAAGTGAGTATAAATTGAGTCAGGTTTCTCCTAGAAATTCCACAACGATTTTTTTATATTCAGTTAGAGGAAGGGGATCTTTCCTCCAACTACTAGACTGATCAAAGATATGTTTCTAGTGACCCCTTTCTGTCTTGATTCCTTTGACAAAAAAATGAATTTGTAAACTCCTGCTGTAAAGTTGGTTTTCTCAGTAAGAGGCCACAACACGCTAGTACTGCTCAGTAGAGGAGAGATATAGTTGTTACTACAGGAACATTAGCTGTGTGAATGTTTTTAGGTTTCTTGTTAAGCAAGTGTTCTGCTTTTAAGGAAAGTGGGAGAGAAAAAAGCTTCAGATACTGGCCACGTCTTGGTTCAAGACACAACACTGTGACGTATGGAAGATTTAAGATTACCACGCGGTTCCGTACCGACTCAGGCTGCTATGCAACGACAGGTTTGAAGATTAAACATCTTCTCACAGGACAGGAGAGAACTGTTTGGCATTTGCAGTATACTGACTGGCCAGAGCATGGCTGTCCAGAAGATTTGAAGGGATTTTTATGTAAGTTCTATTTAATAGCTTTGCTTTGGGGTGTGGTTTGGGGTGGTTTTTTTTATACCTTTAAAAATGGCTACTCTATATGAAGTAACTTTGGACAAATGCCAAACATTGCATTGTAAAAGGTTTCTTCACACCAGCAAGAGATTCTGAATTATATTTTTTGCAGGAATATACCTGACAGTTTATTAAAATGACTCCTTCTGTCTAAAGCAAATAATTTACCAGAAGTCCATATAGAATAAGACATAATTGCACCCCATACTACACATTTGAGTATGTTGCAGAAGTAGCAAGATGGCCACAAGCTGTCTTTAGTAGAAACAGGGGAACGAGGCAAGGAAATCCTTACAAAAGTTAGATGATCCTTGTAGATGCTATGGTTGGGGTATGACTTGTGATTTATACAATGTATAATTTTTCCGTGGCATGTTAATTGTTAAATTACTGCTTTCTGGTGGTTATAAAGCATAATAGCAAAGCTTATGGGGCTTCATCTCCTACATGAATTATTCTTATCTCGTTGAATGTGATAGCGTACTTGGAGGAGATCCAGTCCGTGCGGCGCCACACCAACAGCACGGCAGAGCCGAGGAGCGCGAACCCCCCGCTGCTGGTGCACTGCAGTGCGGGCGTGGGGCGGACAGGCGTGGTCATACTGGCAGAGATCATGATCGCCTGCTTGGAACACAATGAGGTGAGCCCTTTTTCTCTCTTGTGCTTTAAAGAACGTTAGGTACTAGAAAAGTCAATAACCTGCCTAAAATGTGTGATGGCTGTTCATCTGAGCAGCTGTTGGGAGAGGCCTTACAACTGTGCTTGAAATGGCTCTTGGGAATTCAACAGAAGTTAATAATCTTCCAGAACTGCCCACATGCACACCAGGTGCTGGAATGCTCATTTGGATTCTTGACTCCCTAAGATGTTGAGTCATTGAGTGGAGCAAGGTATGCCCTGGGCCAGTGAGCATATTTCAGGATTTCATTCTGATTTTGCTGCTCCTTGCTTTAATTAGAACGGATAATATTCAAGAACATGCTGTGCAGCCAGTCTCTGTACTTGTTATTTTGTTCCTAAGTGCAGTGTATTTGCAGTATTAGTCTCAGTAGAGGATGAAGTGATAGTTTGATAGAATAAAATCAGTCTTATCAAATTCTAGCCTGAAGGGGACAGCTGTTAAATATTTATTAATAATATGTCAACTGAAACTCAACAAATTTACGGTTTTATTGTGCATCCTTCTCCTAACACTGTGGCTTTCCCAGATGATTGTGGTGTAGTGTAGTGCAGTCCATATTGTAGGCAGGGGCAATGAATTGTCAGAGCTGAAATCAGAACAGCTGGTACTGCTCTGAACCTCCTGCTGGGAAAATGCAAGCCAGTTTCCTTGCTCAGCAGTCACGTGTAAGGTTTTGTTCTCTTCTTGCAGATGCTGGACATCCCACGAGTGCTGGATATGTTGAGGCAGCAGAGAATGATGATGGTGCAGACTCTTTCGCAGTACACTTTCGTCTATGGAGTTCTCATTCAGTTTCTCAAAAGTTCTAGACTTATCTAACCCCTGCCACTTTCTAAGAGACTCTGCAAGAGTTTACAGAAAGAAAATGGGAGTTGTCCAGACCTGCTCTCACTGGTGTTTTCCTCATTTGATGAATCACAGAGTTACCATTTAGGGCTGCCATGGGACTGTTAAATGCAAGTCAGCGTAACAGGCTCTACACAGCAGGATCTTCGCTGGACTGAATTCTTCCCACCTTCAGCCACAGTCACATTAAGGAATGATTTTGCTTGTCCTGGTCTGTAGTAGTTGCACATGTTCTTTAGAGTGGTGTTATGCTGAGCAAAATAAGTATCTTATGGAATGGAGGTATATCATACAATTTTACTGACATTATGTTTTGAAACATAGTTGTTGACTGTGCAAAAGTTAAAATCTGTAGGTGCACATGGGGTCAGAAATCTGCTCCCTGTGAATGTTAAGGTCTTATGCAGTTTGATTCTGCTTTCAATTTTATATATAGAACAATTCATCTATATTTTTTAAAATGAACATTTGGTTTCCTCTGGCATACTTAGCAAAATTAGCAGTTCTTAGATATTTTAAGCTATTGCCTTAAGAACAGTTATTTTTATATTTGGAATTTTTAAATTAAAAAGAAAATGAACCACCACAACAGAAGACTTTTTAAACATAACAATATTTTCAGAGGAGAAGACTGACAATGTTTGAACCAACTTTTCAAAAATCATGCGGAAAGTCCTAGGGAAGTTGTTGGTAGTTATTTGTAGTGCCATGTAATAGAACAGACAAGTGAAAGATAATGGTAACTGTTGATAACTTTCATTTGAGAGGAGGAATGTTTACCTGCAATGGGCAGGGGAAAAATATTTTGAGTATCTGTGAGGTTATTGGAAACAAATGGATGAGAGAAAGTACATATTCAGTATTATTCATCTATTTAGAGGACAATTTGATTTTACTGGCTGAAATCAAAGTGGATGCAAATGTTTTAAGCACTTTTTTTGCTCTGTTATTTATGTAGGTAAATATAGATACTATAATCATGCATTGTTTCATTTGGTAATATACCATTACTAACCTGTTATTTTAAGAAGAGCTTTTTAAGTTGATGAAGTGAGAAAACCAAAATGGGAGTAGGAAGGTGCAGAGTGGTGAAGTGGAAATTATTGTATGAAGTGTAACGGAGGAGGTGTGGCAGCTATGATTGCTGGTTTACACAGTGCAGAGATGACCTTAAAAAAATGTTAATGTTCCCAGCCAAGAAAGCCAGTAAAGCACTGGAAGTTTCTGTAGAATCCTCCAGATTATTTTGTTAGTGCTAGAGCAAATTTTGCTAATGCTGTGCAGCATTGCAATGAGGGACATTTGAGAAATTGCAGAAAAAGAGCTCTTAGAGGAAGCACTGGAGATGGGGGTAATTTAGTAGCTGTTTAAGTGGTTGAGTCAGTGGCTGTGGCATGGACCTGAAGTAGGCAGGTACAGCCTACTGTAGTTTCTGTTTTGTCCCATGGGGCTGGTCAAATGATGATATCCCTAAATAATCCTCTGTGGTTTTCAGTGGAGACAGCGTGGTTTTAGCTGCCTTTCAAAGTGTTTTGAGATGCTAAGTTAAAAATCCTTATTCCAAATTGAGCTATAGTTTTTAGATATCTGGTTTAATTAAAAAAAAAAACAAACAACTTATAGTAGACCACTCTGCAGACATGGTTAAGTGTACATTTCCCTTGATACTTGCTTAGTGAAATGAAATGAAAAGTCAGGTTTATTAGTGCTGAAATTGTTATTTTTCTGAGCTCAAACAAGGATTTGGAAGCTATTAAGGCCCCTTCAAAACAATGGTTGTGTCCCAAAACATGAATTAAGAATTATAAATTGGTTGCCTCAATTTCCTTTGTAACAAGCTGCTTCCATGAAGTTAAACATGTGGTCCAAATGACATTGAGATAATATGTCATTTTATACCAAATATATTATTTTTAGATACACAATATGATCTGGTGCTTTCAGGTCTGCTTAGAAGCAGTCTGTTATTTGTCCTCTCAGTATAAGTCAGATTGAATATTTTGGGTTAGGGAAAAGCAGTGTTGTTCTTATATAAAATTCCTAGGAATTATTGATTGCCAAACATAAAACTGGAAGTCAGAGTAAACCAATTGCTGAAGAGTTTCTTCATACATAAACCTTGCAAACATACAAATCTGACATATCTATGTTGACAGAAGTATTGAAAGAAGCAAACATACTTAGCTATTTTTATCATGCTCGGTTTTAAAAACATTGTTAATTTTTGCCACAGTTCACTTCTATCTGCAGAAATGTTATTGAATGGGAGGGCAGGCTCTAAAATGTAGCTTATACCTTTTCAATTTCTTAACTTTGCACTGTGATCTTCGTCACCTGATAGATGCAGTTGTAATCACATGATGGACAACCAGAAGCTGTTTCTGAGACAGAACATCAGCTGCGAGGCATTAAAAGGAACAGTAATAACAAGCAATTGAATCCAGTATTTGTGGGATTATCTGAGGTGGGTGAGGAAATGTGTGTCTTTTGGCTTGTTTTTCTGTTTAGCTAAAAGAAGTTGTGTTCACTTTTAGATATGGTTGTGCTCAAATCTGGTAGTCACAGTCTTGTTTTTTTCAGTGTATCAGTGCTACCTCCTCCCCTTCAGCTTCCAGTTCTATCCATCAGCAGTCTGTTTTTGCAGTAATAGACTTGACCTTATTAGACTCGACTTTATGTGGCTTTTTCTACTGAACACTGTAGGATTGTTTTTGTTTTTAAGCAATGGCTCCAAGTGGGCATTGAAAATGAGCAGTTTCTCTTCTAGATACCAAATGAAATTAAACTTCACAACCTTCTTAAAAAAATATTTTTAAACCATTGTTTAGATTTGCAGTTAACTTAAAAAAGACAATTCAGTTTTTAGCCCTTTTGTTCTGAGCCTTGAAAAGGGATGCATTTTTACATGTAGTTGTGCCGGGTACTTAATGAAGTTTTGGATATTATAACAATATCCACTGTCCAAATCCAGTCACAGTGTGAGTCAAAGGTGGATTTATTTGTCAAAAAACTTAAAATTTCTCTAAAAGCCTGTCCAATTTTGCCAAATGTGTATCTATTTTTATGGGGATGAAATCAAATGATTATGCAAGATTTGAACAGAGTTTGTCTAGTAAGAAAAGTTGCATGAAGAATTTTTGCAGCAAATGGCAAATATGATGCTGATCTCTTGGGATGTCAGAGCTCTCAGGGACAAATAAAGGTGCTATATACTGTCAAGAGACAGATTTGGTGGTCTGTTGTTGAGTAGGTAGAAGATGCTTTCTAGGATCAAATTATATGAAGAGACAGGAGACGAACATACAAACTGTAGTAAGGACATCTGCATATTTGGTTTCTTTCTTGGTTGCTCTGATATGAGATTTTTTGGCCAGTGAATCTTGGTGGTCTTGGGCTAAAACCTCTTCTCTAAGAAGCCAAGTCAGAGCCCTGTCCATTACAAGATGTCACTGATTTAGCTGGGTTAGCTTTAGGCTACAGGTTCCTCCTGGCCCTCTTTGGTGAGGCAGGAGCTCTCAAGTGCACAGGGGAGTTTTGCACAGCCTCTGCAGCCTGCACAGTAGTGCTCTCCTTTCCTGCTGTCCCCCAGGAAGGGCAGGAAAGGTTTTATGCCTTAGTATTTCACTCATTGGAATGCCTTTCACACAAGGTGCAGGGTGCTACGGTTTATACGTAGAAATACATTTAATTCAAAGCAGGTGACCAAGGCACTGTTCTTGTATTTCTATGGATGAAAAGTTGCTCTAAGTTAAAACCAACATTTAGGAAAAAAAAAAGTAAAATACAGTAATAACAAATAGAAGTAAAATAAATTTTCACTAAAGTGGAAAAGATTCTTGACATTTTACCTTTGACTTCTCTTGTAATCCTGTGTGTTTCTTTTTGAAGTGGGCAACACTTGGAGCAATTTTCTTCAAAATGGTTCCTTTAAATTTAACAAGTAAGACTGAGGCTGCTTCTTCAGCTGCTTCTACATATTTTGTGTTGGAGCAGCTGTTAAAGTTGAGTGGCTCATAGATTTTGATGGCTTCTGGACCAAACTTGGAAACTGCAGGATTGTTTATCATAGCTGTGTAATGAAACCTCAGTTTTAATATCAATAGCATTACTAAATCCTTGGTATTTAAAATCAGTGAACCCATTTCAATAGTTCAAATTATCAATTTAAAAGAATCAGTGCCACAGTTGCGAAGAACTCAGTGCTTTAGTGTTTAGGGTTGGGGTTTTTTCTGATAGTGCAAAGTCATGAAAAACCAGAGTCTAGCCCTGCAAGATGCAAAATTCCTGCAGTTCTTCATGATACTGTAGGAATTAAAATGGGCTTACTGCCAGTGAAAGCTTGAGCCCTAGAAACATGAATACGCATGTCTGCTTTAAATTTAAATACAGATTCCAAGAATTAACCAAAAGAATGCAGCAGGAATGTGCATACAGGAAAGTACAGCATTCAAAGGAAAAGTAGATGAGAGTTCAAAAGAAATTCTCTTGTAAAAGTACAACATTTTGGACCTAGAGAGTGAGGATTTGAGGAGTGGCAGAAGGCCCTTGGAGGAGGATTTGGAATGTTCTGTATCCAAAGTAGGGCTGCTAGCAGGGTTTGAGTCATATGGTATGTTTTTCATGGCATGGTAGGGTAAGTGAATGTAGTCATAGGTGTTATTTTTACTGGCTTTTTAAAATGTGATTTTTTAAACTCCAAATACTTTTTCAGAGGCTCTGTTATTTTTACATATCTTCCTTTCCAAATGTGTTGAATGCAATCTGTCAGCTTAATTTCTGTTTACTTATTAAAGGTCAGATTTTTCAAACTACAGTCTCTGGTTTTACAGATACAAAATGCAGGGGGAATAGGCATACTTGCAATTTTGCAGTGATAATTTCTAATAGATGCAGGTGAGATGATTCAAAAGTCTGTGTTTTGAATGAAGCCAGGAGTTTACAGTTGGTGCGAGTTGCTCCAAGTTAAGGCTGGGCTAGCAATGAGACTCTTGAAATGTGGAATTTACCATGGACTTAGGAGTGCTGTTGCAGTGCAACATTTGCAACACAGTGACATTAAAACAGTGTAACACTTGTGCTAAGGTAAGGGAAAAAAATCTTAAACTGCTGTTGCAAACGTGCCTGTGAGAAGAGAAGTTAAAAAAAAAAAAAAATCTTAGTGCGATCTTGCCTGGGACCAGCTAACTTGGTGTACTCTGTTGGCATTGCACGCTACTTTTAAGGTCTAACTGGGCTGAATAAAAAGGATTTGTTAACTTCAGTGAGCATTTCAAAAAACTGTTGCTAAATAGCCTCTGGTTCTATTCTTTGCTATTTTCCACATCATGCTGTGTTCAGTGAAGAATAACCTCCAGTGTGTTTGTTTTGTTGAAGTCTATTCTTCAGCTTTACTTAGGGAATGAAGATAGAAATCAAATGTAAAGAATCTAATGAACAGAGTTTACAACAGATCCAGCCTGTGGCAAATCAAAGAGCAAAACTGCAGATACTGTAATGTTCTTTTGGTTCAGATATGCAGCAATAAAAACTACCAAATTATTAATTTTATGAGCAGTTTCAGAAGGTGCCTTACTTTCATAAAGGGAATTAAATGCTGTTTTTCCATTTGGAAATATTTAGATAAAATTAGGAGACTTTCTTTTAATATACTTTAAAGACATTGCAAATGCCATTAATTTTTAGAACAGTAGGAAATTTAATGGAGAAAACCCCTGTAAAATCCTCCAGTCTGTCACCTTGCTAATGCTGGATAATTCTGACAGACAAGGTGTGTGTACTCTTTACAAAGATACTTGCTTAAGTTGCTTTGAAAGACCCAACTTATCTGTCCTCTTTGTGGTTTTTCTGGGGGCACTTGGATGGAAATTTAAGAGGCTTTACCTGGCAAATTAGCAAGTATGTACACTCCTGCACACTGCTGAAATCTCTTCATTCATAAAAGCAAATGAACGTTTGAAATCCTATCAACAGTTTTGTAGGATCGAATCCTCAGTGTCAGAGGAACACAGGATCTGGCTCCATTTCTTCAGTTTTCACTTGAGCCAGTATGCAAGGACTTAAATGGGACTTTGTTTAAAAGTAGCAAAGATGAAGTATTATTTTCTAGTACTAAGCTAGTGGTTAACATGTCTATTTTTTTGCTGTCTTGCCACCAATACTGTAAAAATGTATAATCAAACCAGCTTTAATTCTTGTAAAACTGAAATTGGTTTGTAAAACAATGTATAAATTGTGTTTCATAGACAGAAAAGCTTGTATTACTGAATGTAATATATGTGAAATGAATATATTATAGTCTATTTTTGCCATGGAAATAAATATTTGAAGCAATTATGAGGTTTTTATAGTTCCATTATTAAAGGAAAAATCCAAGAATTTACTGTTCATGTGTAGTCCTAAGCTGGGACTTTGCTTTCAGTTCACAAAGGTGTGATCCCTCTTCTAATGTTCTACAAGTACTGGGTATAAAATTTGTGCTGCCAGGTACTAGTAGGTGTCATCTTTGTGGCAGGAAAGTCTTGTGCCTGCTGTTCTGTCATATTTTTTCACAATGTTTTGCATTTTGTAAAGTTGTTTTTGGTACTGAACTTCCAGTTTTCCTCTCCTAACATGTAAGTGTAGGAGGAATTAAAACTTTTGAAATTTGGAGAACCATTTCCAAAAGCATGTGAGAGAAGAAACAGTTGATATATGCTTACTATGATTGGAGCTGCTGCCAACAACAAGCACTGAAGTGATTTTCATTCTAGAATTGGCATTGAGTTAAAAAGGGAGGTGCTGCAGCAGCTTGCTCTACACACCTGGTACAGCATGAGGCTTTGTGAGGTGAATGGAAGAACTGCACACTGGACATTGTAGTTTCACACTGGACTAGTGCATTTCCCTTGTCTTTGCTTTGTCAAGAGCATTATCCCCTAGCTACATCTGAAACAATCAGGCTTTTAACTAAATTTTGTCTTCTAGGTGCACTCAGTTTGCGGGCATTAATCAGCTTAAGGTAAGACAGTTACAAACCATAGATACATCTGTACTTGTCAGAGCAGTTCCCAAGTCCTGGAGAATGTCCTGTGTGATGCTCATTGTAAGCAAAGCTCTTTTATTAGACATGGATACAAAGTCAGAAGAGGAAAATGGGACTTCCTGGGACTTGAGGCTCATGGTGAAGCATTCAGCAGTTTTGATCACACTTACTATTTATACTGATTTTAGACCTCTGGCAAAGGTATCTTCAGAAACCTAAATTTCCTCTAAATCCAGATGGTTTTAAACTGCAGTTGTTATGTTCCAGCCACTGTAAAATCCCCATTAGAGACTTCTGGTAGCCAGAGTTGGTTGACAGGACATGGCTTGATGCTTGGCACATCTGGCCAGAAGCTTTCTTGGGCAAGAGCTCCAGGACTTGGTACATGAGAAATGTATGGGAGTTGATGAGAGAAGTTCCCAGCTCAACCAGAACAACAATAGGAATCCAAATGACAGGTATCAGATGTAGCAGCTTTGATGCACTGCAAAAAAGCTCAGTCAATCCAAAATAAGGAGCATTGCTGAGTGTATGCACTCCCTGCAGTCAGAGCAAATTTGTCTCCAGTGCCATGGTGTTAGGAGGACTGCCATGGTGAGTTTAGCATTTTCAGTGCATATATGCCATCAAGCCTGTTTTCAGGAGAAAAGTTCAGCCTTATCCCTCTGCACAGTGCTAGTGTTTAAATAATGACAAATAAGCAGAACTGAGAGTAATGGACATTCTGGAAATGCTTCACAAATACTAGAGGTTGAATTTCCTGATATTTGGGAAGGTAACTGGCTACGGGCTGGCCCAGCCTACCACTCACCTGCCCCTCAGCTTTGTTACTAGAGCGTGCCTGAGACTGCAGCAGTGTTTTGTGGCAGGGCTGTGCTCTCACCTGCCAGCTCCTTCCTCAGGTAAAGGGAGGAACAGGGAGCTGGCTGGGGAGATGTGCCCAAGAATCCTTTGGGGAGATCAGATAGCACCATAAAGTGAATTGAACAGAGACTCTGAGATATTCAAATAGTGAGGAGGACCATGGAGAAAACACACCCTATGGAAAGTCATAGCAAGGGCGTTTAAAGACTGATGCTTAGGCTGAAGCTCCCTGTATAAGGCTAAAAGCTGTCAGGGTGGGATGGGAGTAGCCATTATGCAAGCTTGTGTCTGGGGAAGGAAAAACCAAGAGCTTCAGGAGCTCTTCTACCTTTCTCTTACAATTCATTGTTGTCTTAGATAGTTGTGCCCAGCTTTCAAACCTGTGCTATCTGTATAATCTCTGGTTTCACTTGTGTCAAACATTGGGAAAAAGCATGGTGCCAAATGCCTCTGAGCTGAATTTCTGATTGGAGAGGCTACATCTCTGAGGTCCTGCAAGGAATTCTCAGGCTGACAGGAGAGCTGATGGCCTTTAACACGTTGCTTCACTTCTTTGGCATGTGAGCATGCTTATGAGTGAGAGAAATGGACACTGGGAAGAGCTGGGGTCACCTCATAGTTGTGTTACTCATCTGGAGCCAGTCTCTGGCTGCTGTGAGATGTCAGGTATGCTGCAGCCCTCACACAGATACTGTAAGGGGAGTCCTACAGGCTTGCTGAATTCTTGGGATAACTACAGAGAGCTCTGCACCTCGTGCTACAGATCACGCTGCCTGTCCTCTACGAGAATGGGACAGCATAGCTCTGTTGCCTGCCAGCCTGAGGCTCTGTTGGAGTTTCTCAGGTTTCAGAGGCCTCCCTACTCCATTTATGTAGCCTTTCCTTGCCCTTCTCAAGGTCCGATTTCATTCCCCCAATGTGGGAATGAAATGCTGGAAGCATTGCAGGGGAACCTGTGTATGCTGAAGCCTGTGATATACCAGAGCAGCAAGGGCATGGCAGCAGCCTGTGTTGGTGCCCTGTGGGATGTCTGGCATTCCTCCAGCCTAAGATGTGGTGTCGGGTTGAGAGCCTACGCTTTTTGCAGGCCAGTGTCATGGCTTCAAAGATGAATGCAAGTGAAGTTTTGTGTGTTGTCTCCTGGCTGTCAGGCACACCTCCTGGCCTTTGCTGTCAGCTAGAATTAGGTTAGTGGGTGAGCTAAAAGGTACCATTAGGAACCCAGCTATTCTGGAGACTTTCTACAGAGAACATAAAGTTCCACACACTTCATCCTTGGTTTTGGTACTCTTCACTTGAATTAACAAATCTTGTTTCTACTCCTCAATTGCCTGGCATGCTGGAGTCATCCTAGGCTTTCTTTAAGGTGGCTGAAATGGTGATGAGCTATGGGTGGGTGTTCTACAGCTCGGATGATTTGTTGAGCCAGTGGCAACTGCTGATTCTTCTTTTCCCTTCCCAGTGATGCTTTATCCCTGTGACATGCTCAACTTCCGCTGGCCCACGACCTGCTACAGGTTTTGAAACTGGATCCTTTGACTGGCTGTGACCCATGCTGGGGCAATGGCTGCAGATTAATTTACTGCTCACCTGTTTGCTATCTCTTGCTTTACTACTGGAATACAAACTGAAGGTGGTTGTTTCTGAATGAAGCCTATTTCACTAAAGGAAACAGGGAGACTGGACTGCTTGTATCTGGTTTGGTTGTTTTGGAGAGTGAGAAATGATTTTTGTTAAAACTGCTGGTTGCTGTTCTGTTCCTTGTAATCTGTGTATGTACCAGGTGTCAGCTCTTGAGAACAGCAGGTTAAGTGAAGTGCCAGAATAAAACTGGGAAATGCCAGAGAAAAAATTATGGCTTTGGAGACATCACTCAGCTGCAGTGCCCTGCACTTGCTTACATACACTCCTGTCTTGGGTGGTCAAAAATTAAAGTGGGATACTGGACTTTTCAACAGCTTTGTAAAATAGACCTTGAGTTCCAATTTTGTATTTTTTTTCCCTTTGCATAAATTTTTAGGTCTCAAATACAAGCACTGTGATAAAAAAGGTGGTATCATGCACTAGGTATATATAGGTATACACACAAAGGTAAAATACATTTGAAGGCCAATGTTAACAAGTGGCACCTAAATTTCTACTCTGCACCTGTGCTCTAGCCAGTAACGGGTCTCACTTTAAAAGACTTAAAACTTAAGTTGTAAGTTGTACTGGAATCAGTAACAACTTCCCTTTTGCCAGTCCCTTCTTCCTGTACTCTCTTTAACATTCATTTTCCATTGGTATTTCTACTTATTCCAGGCTGTGGCTTGGGACTCTCCCAGGTACTCAGACACAGAACAATAGTCATACACTAAAGGGCATTATTAGAACATCTTGTTGGTTAGAAACTGTGCTGTCACCACAATGGAACAGCCTGCCTTAGGGCGACAAATGAAACTCCTGGGCCTAATTTTTATTTATGCTGATGTTCTAGTTCTCTTGCTCATAAATGTTGCACAAAACATTACTGAGGAAACAAGTAGCCCTTTTTTTCCCATTGTCCAGTGGAGCCATTTGTACTTGAATAGTGAAATGCTGTCAGTTGAGCTGCATCATTCTTACAATTACTTTTGCATAGCTATAAATGATAAAGTGTATAGAAATGCAGAGAAACAAAATTGTGAAGTCATTCTGCAGCTAAGCCTAAATGAAAACTCTGTAGGAGCTTTAGACACTGGGTGAATCAAGGATAAAAGGATGGCTTGAAGCTGCTTTTTTTCTGGTCAACCCTAAGACATGTAAGCACCTTTTTCCTTTGATCCCATTAATCTTTACTTCAAATGACCAAAAGCCCCACTTTGCTTTGTAAATAAACAGAATTCTACCTTTGAAAAAAAGAGCAGTGATGACAAAACTGTAGCTTTAAAGGTAAGAGGTCATTTTGGTAGAGCAAAGTAACACTAGCAGGCTTTTGTCTATTTGAAAAGAACATTGATGTTATGATGTATGTACTCATGGCCCACATGAATCTGGGCAAAAAAAAAAAAAGTTTTTACATTGCAGATCACTGCTTCTGACTGCTCCTAAGTTTGTTACATCTGAAGGCTTCAGATATGTAGTAGTGTGCGACTGCCTTGTTCTGCTACTGCTTTTGCCAAGGCTTGAGTGTAACACAAAGTAAAATATGTGAGAGAAAAAAATTTAAACCAAACCAACTAAAACCCTCAGAAAAAATCTCCAAGCCTTGCAGTGTTGATTAATCTTATCACTGGTGTGGGTCAAGCTTCCATATCAAGGTCTTTAAAAAAACTTATGTTTTAAGCACCACCTTAAAAGTAAATGTGAATAGAAGAGAGACAGTCTTAAATCCAAGGCAGCCTGAATTTGCTCTTGGATCTGCAGATAAACTGATTTTATACAAGTAACATTTATCTATAATGACTTTTTCCCTACTATCTGATAGGAGTGCCTCTACAATGAGAAAAAACAGTTCTTTGGACTGAACTGATTGCTCCAGTTTCTGATACTGGGGTGTGTAATTCTCTGGTTCTTTACCAGACATTTCACTGTGGATCCAATAAACATTCACACTTACCATTTAGGCAGACAAGTGCTTTCTTTATGAAAGGTCTGTTTTAATCAATTTATTTCCTCTTAAATTGCATCTACTCAGAAAAAAATGTTGATGTTGAGACAGTTCGTCAACAGGAAATATGGTCAAGAAACTTTTTATTTATTTTTGCATTACTTGTATTACAGGAAATTAGTATGCCATTACTAATGCCTTTCTGTGAAGTTCACTGCTGTGGTGTGAACAGTATTTACTACATTATTTTTTCATTTACAGAATTTGAAGGTGAAATTCTTATTAATCCTTAATCAGACTCATGTTCACAAGAAGGTGAAGTTTGCTGAGTGACATTTTTTACAATGTACAAGTCACAAGTGTAGAGATTGGTAGGGAAAAAAACCCTAAATTCTAATTATTGACCAAGAATGGAGAACTTGGAATGGAGGGCCCCAAGAGTGGGTGAAGTCCTGTCTGAGAAGCAAAGAGGCTTTATACTTGTATGCATCAAGCCATGCTCTTTAGTTTTCAAACCAGTCCCAGTGTGTCAGAATTCTTCATAAAGTAGAAACAAGTTTCCTAGGTCATCCCTTCGAATAGAGAGAGAGCTTCCTGGAGGATTGGAGAAGGTCTGTGATCACTTGTGACTGAGGACAAACCTCCCTGCACTGTACCGACTCAGCACTGTGGTCACATCTTTTCAACAAGACAGCTCTGGTGGGGGGATGAAGAAGTCCTCTCATTTTCTCACCTGCAGTGAGCCAGAGCACTCATGCTGCAGGCCAGACTTACAAGGCAGCCAACTAAGTATGGCAGATGAAAGGCTGGTGCCCCTCTGCCCAGCCCCATGTACCTGGCTAAAATAAACTCTGGTTTTCTGTCATTGTCAACAAGTGCAATTTATTATTGTGGACAAGGTACCCAGGAAAGTGGGAACTGTGTTCCGCACTGCAGTTTTATGACTGTGCCAAACATGTTTTTCTCTGACTAGCTTCCTCTAGCTGTTTTTTGACATTTCCTTTTTGTCTTATGAAGTTTATGCCTCATAAGTGAAGCAGTGGTCTGTGTCTATTGGAGCTCCTTTAAGCTGCAATGGGTCATCTGGCTGACAGAGTCACAAACCTTGGTTGATGCTCACAAGGCACAGGGGAGGCAGGTGGTGGCAGTTGCTATGTAAGAACTGGTACAATTTGGGCTCGTCCTTGGAGGAAGAAGGTTAGAAACTGACCCTAGGAGATATAAAGGACAGGTTTTATCCAGGTTCCTAAGACTACTCCTAGTTCCTCACCCACAGCAAGACAATGCAACTTGCCAGCATTTCCTAATAACCTGTTAAGCTCATTCTGCAGCAATGGGAATGTCAGGCAATAACTGTACACTGATTCATCAATGACATTTGGGTTAATTCTGTGCAATGCATGTACTAACTTCAATTTAAACTTAAACCAGAAAATACACCACCTCTTCTCCATTTGCTGTACAAGGTGCCTGATGTGTCCTCTTCTACACAGTCCTAGTCATCAAACAGTAATCAATTCAATCCTTTTCCAAAACCAAAGCTTGATGCAGAATGCTATGCCATGTCTGTCATCAGTGCAAAGAATTGAACTTAGCAGTCTCATTCAGTTGAGAACTGAAAATAAAAAACTGCAATTGTTAATCTACATAGATCTGTAAAAATTTGAATTTTCTTCTTATGAAATAGTTTGATTTTTCATTTGTGGGCTTCTGTGAGCACTACATGGCAGAACTGTTTGTCCATTCTGGAAGAGGACATTGTTTGATGTTGAGTTTATGTTAAGCTGTTGAATTCTTGCAGACTAAACATCTCAGATCTTTATAGCAGGACCACAGCTGCGCTATCAATCAATTTATTTAAATCAATAAATATTTCATAACTTATTATTACAGCCCTAAAAATATAAATCTGGTTTTAATATTCTTAAGGTTTTTTTGAGTTATACAACTGTGGGCAAAATACACAAAATTCTTCTGATACCTGACTTTATCCTTTAAGGTCTAACTTACACAGAGATTAATGCCCAGTTAATAGTATCCTGCTACAGAGATCTTAGCAGTATTTAAACAGAAATAACTGAAATAAACTGAACAATTTACTACTGCTTGACAAATGGCAGTTCACCACAGAAGGAGCTCTATTCCTGTTTAACAGGTAAGCTTTGGTTACAGTTACGTGAAATGTGAAGGGCCTCTGCAAAGTCTTCCCCAAGTTCATCAAGTTCCTCATTGACTTCCAAATCACTGTCCCAAGCAGCCAAATTTAAAGCTGCCTCACAGGTGGGTGAAGTGTCTGAGTGTTCTAATTCCTCACCACAGAAATCAGACTCTGTCCCAGCACCCATAATTTCTATGGTATCTTCTGAGAAGTCCTTGCGCCGTGTCTCCCTTGACCTTCTGCTCCGTGACAGGGATTCACGTATGTTTGGTTTCTTTAACAAGTCCACGGACTCAAGGAATTCTTCATTTTTTGTAGCTTTCCTCAGCTTGTGACCTTTACTGGTACGCTCAGGCTTTTCTGTTGTATCAAACTCCTGCAGATCCAGTGGGCCCGAGGCTTCCTGACCTGCATAGATTATCTCTGTCACGCTGTCCTCGCTGCAGCCAAGGTCTGATTTCAGCATATCCAACATCTGGCGCATTTTGCCCTAAGGAGTGAAGGAGGAAAAGGGTGACACTTCTCCAGCCCCATGGCACCTGGGCACTGCTCAGACTCAGGGCTTAACTCTTGACAGAAGGAAGAGGAGGCTGCTTGCAGTCAATTGACTAAATTAAACATTGAGTGTCACCAAACTGAACTGACTGTTGTCCAGTCTTTGTCACTGTACCTGTGACTCCCGATCTGCCATGATCCATGAGTGAGCAGATCTCATTTTTGGAGAGAGAGGGGCTCCCCACTGAGTATTCTGGTTACCTTTACCCTCCAATATACCTGTGCATTTGCCCTGCTCTTTGGAAATGTCACCTAAGTCATATGCAGAGACCACTGTAAGGGCAGCACATACCTCATCAAGGCGGTCCTTATTCTCTTCTATATGGCACTCAAACAGTTTATCCAGAACCCTATAAATAAAAAATCAAATTATTTCACAGGAGGAAAAACAACTTTTACCAGATGCACATAATCTAATGACAGTATTTTTTAATTCCATTTCTTAGGTGAATGGCACCTCTAAGAAGGGCCCTAGTGGAAAAAAAAAATTACTGTAAAGGGCCAGAGGTAGACTGCTCTCAAAATTTCTTGGAGATTATTTTTACCTGGTGTATTTAGTATTCTTATTGACAGCCTTGACATATGAAGAAGAAAATAAGAGCACATAGAATACCAAAACTAGCTGGGAACCTTATCAACCCAAAGCAAGATAAAAATATTATGAAATTAGACTGCCTTGAATGCAGAATTTCAAAAATGGGTTAAGATTCTGTATACATATTTTATATATTTATAAAAATACTGCAATTTTTTTTTCATAAATTGAGAGTTCTTCGTTAGAAAGAACCAGTATCATATTGAAAGCAGCTGGTGAACTTTTGTCTGCAAGAGAATGTAACCCTTGCAACCCATGTTGAAGACTGAATTCATACTGGAACAGGAAGAACAGAAGGGGACAAAGGACCTGTTGTGTTAAAGGTTAGTAACTCAGTTTATTTAGCAAAACAGATGTTGCAGACTAAAATGAGTTCTTAGTCTTTTTCCACCTAGGGTTCCAGGGTCAGGTTTTAACAGAAGCTTTTATGTCATGGTACACAGGAGCAGATCAAAGTCAATGACCCTAAAGTATTTCCTACTTCTCCTTTCTTACATAAAGCAAAAATGAAGAGGAAACAAAACAAAAGCAAGGGCTAACTGTGTATATGTGTGTATAAAGAAATTATTACTAATCACTACTTCTCTTACTTATGGAGTCCATGGGTTTCTGACATAGCAAAATTTCATTTCAAAACTGTAAACAACTGTAACCTACCTGTTAGAAAATAAGCCAAGTCTAAGAATTTCATTTGTAACATCTTCAATGAAAGTTAAATACAACAGCTCCTCTTCTCTGCAGGGAGAATAGAAACCCCAATGTTAAATGCTTTACCACAGAAACACATACGACATATTTTAGTAGGTTTAATCACCTTCACTGGAAAGGCCATTAAGAAGATTTTATAGTTTTTGTATCAGCAGTTATGTTTCATAAAAGGTAAGGCTATCATGACAAGCTAAGCCTTTTGTTCAATCTGGATAATAAAAAACTGCAAAATATGAGACTGTTATAAAGGTGGTCATGATGCTTTGTCTTTATGCTAACTTTCTGTGGTGGTATAAATTAGCACAGAGATCCCAAGCAAGGGAATCAGTGAATCTTGGCAAGTGTTCAGAACCTTCATTGCACTCAAGAAAGGGGAGCTAACTGGGAAGAAAGTGTACAATTGCAGTTTGATGCTCTGGGTATAAGCTTCCAAAGGAGCTTCTAGAGAATCTGACTGCAGCTGAAAATTGCGGGTCCTAAATGGAAGCTCAGAAGGATTTAACTGTTTATTTGGCAGCATCCACTCATTTAAACATATCTCCTTGATGGATAAAATCTTAGTGTGAGATATGACTTTCACCTCTTATCTCTATTTTAGTACCTCTAAATGAGTTGTTGATGCCAATTACTCTAAATTGGACACTCAAAAAGTCTGGAGTTCTGCTTGAATGACAACAGGAAAGAAAACCCCAAAAGAAAATATTTCAGTGCTGTTTCTCCTTCATAGCATCTTTCTAAGTCTTCCAAAGCATCCAGTCAAACTCTACTGAGTCATTCTCCAGTCTTAATAAACAGAAAATTAAAAAAATGGAATACATCTTGCATGATTTTCACTACATAAAATTTGTTATTGTGCTTAAAGATTGTAATTTTGGTTCCCTCTATAGTCAAAAAAGTTACCTACAGCTGGTATTTGAGACCTTTATTATAAGCCTTAAGTTAGGTAAATACAAGCCTGTCCTAAAGCACAAAGCACAAAATGACTTTCCCAAGGCCACTTGGTGAAGCTTTAGTAGTGTTTCTGAATATAACTCAAAACTCTTCTAATTTTCATCAAATGTCAGAATGGTAAGAATGCCTTTCAATTTGGTGCTTAATTTGCCAATATTTGTTTCAGAGATTACAGACCTGAAAAGAAATGGAAACAAACTAGGCACTGTACAATCTTCTGAAGTTAAAATGAATTTTATTTTTTGATTCACATAAAGTATTTTATTTTTTAAGTTCATCAGTTTTGAGGAAAGCCTTCTAGTTTCATGTTGTAAATGAGAAGAAAAATGGTTTAAAAGCCTACTTACTCATCATTGATAGTTCTCTTTGGTGAAGACTTCTGAGGACACCATGATGTCTCTCTAATCAGATAATCAGAGGGCAAGAAAAAGAATAACATTCTAAACTCTAGTTTGATGTTGTAAATGAGAATAAAAATGGTTTAAAAGCCTACTTACTCATCACTGATAGTTCTCTTTGGTGAAGACTTCTGAAGACACCATGATATCTCTCTAATGAGAAAATCAGAGGGCAAGAAAAAGAATAACATTCTAAACTCTAGTTTGATGTTGTAAATGAGAAGAAAAATGGTTTAAAAGCCTACTTACTCATCACTGATAGTTCTCTTTGGTGAAGACTTCTGAAGACACCATGATGTCTCTCTAATCAGAAAATCCAAGGGCAAGAAAAACAATAACGTTCTAAACCCTTTTTATACTACCTTACATGCAATTTTCTTCTGGAGCCATGGAGTGCCATTATATGATTTCCTTTCACAAAAAACCCCACCATAACACCCCTAAACCCTGCTTCAGTAGCAAAATCCCCTGCTGGCACCGAAACCTGAAAGACTGCTGTTCAAGAGTATTACACCACCTCACTTGAAGCAGTGCTCAGAAGACCTTGGTGCTACTTCAGATGCTATTCAATCTCTGTTATCTGTAAGAATGCTTTTTTAACTCAGAGTACCTTTTATTTCCTCAGATAAAAATGCCTTTGTATGAAAAGGCCAGAGAGCAAATCAGCGAGTCATGCGTGACACTCAGGTCAGCAATGAGGAGAGTCAGCTGGGAGCCCTCGGGCTCTGGCCTGATTTCCAACACTGCTCTGGTATTGCAGCTATCCCAGTATTAAGTTTTCAGAAAAAGATGTGGGAAATGCTCCTGCAATGCAGTATTTAGTTATAGTACTATGTAGTCTGTGAGTTCAGATGTACAGAACTAACAACTGTATTAATGTTTCATTAGTCAATTCTGACAAAAATACTCATATATTTCAGAGCTGTCTTTCTTAATTGGCTTCCCATTGGAACTTATCACTAGAAAATAATGATTTTACAAGTTGGGAAAGGCCATTGATATAAAAACCCAATAAAAGTTCTGTAAAAGAAGACTTATAAAGAGAAATGCTAGTGAAGACTTATGGCCTAAGGACCAGCTGTATAGAAAGGAGCATTTCAAATATTCCCTCCTGCTGTAAATCAAGCACCTTAGGATGGAGTCTTGAAAACCATCTACTCCTCTCTCAGGCTCATCCAAAGTGTACAGTTTATCTTCAGCCTACAACACAGAAATAAAAATCTTTATTGTCGGTGCAAATGCACAGCAGATTTTACCATTAAAATGAAATCTAGTAACTCTCTGTGATTAAGCAGCCCTAGAAATTCCACGTCTCTTCTGAGAAACTTTGTGTAAACAGACAAATGGGACACCTTCTTCTGCTGGAAAGTCATGTACCAATTATAATACCTTAATACCTTAGCAGATATTTGATAGTGTACTTACAGAAACAATAAAAAAATAAAATAAAAAAATATCTCTTCATGTGCCTCAGTGTTTTTTCTTATAGTTTCCACTCAGTGTTCTGAAATTCTCTCTCCTCTATGTAGCTAACTCATGTCATGGCAATAGAGAGAACACCTAAATCAGCTGCTCACTGCTGTGGCAGTGATGAGGTGTATTACTCCACAGTGATGGTGGTGGGTGTGGGCAGAGTACCCAGATGACTGATAGATGCATTATTACCTTTGATTTGATCTTCTGCTTTTCACCCATAACTTTTCTCACATGCACTTTGTCTGCAGATGGAAAGCTACAAAATTTAGAGAGGTATTAGATTCCCAAGTAGATTACTTTCAAAAAATGCAGGATGAGAATAGCAGCGCCACTGTGGAAATGTCTCATTGACCTGAACAGAATGTAGTACTGAACAGGTCAGAAAATTTCTGACAGACAGGTGATCCAAATTAATTATTTAGCTGCATATTAGCAGGGGATAATGGAATTATTCAAAATAATTATTCAGAATTAAGAATGGAGATGATCCTAAAATTAAAAGTGCACCAGGAAAATAGACAACCTACAGCCAAAAAATCAACAGTTGCAATACAGAGCCAAAGCTATCATAATTCCAGTCTTAGGAAATTCCTGATTTAATCTATGACAAAACTGGAGTTAGACGTGCAGGCATGGTGGACACAAAAGGGAAAAGATTTCTCTTTATAAGGTAGTACAAAACTAAATCAGAATTGTTCAACTTGGTAGGAAGTTCAATGCAAGAGGACACTAATTTTGTTTAAAATATTTTATACAAGGTATATCCAATGGTATTCAAATTAAAAAAAACCATTGAAGAGCTGCATTCAGGAGTTAAAAAAGGATGTTTGCATGATGTGTTAATTAACAGACTGGAAAGCATGAGACTACGGGGGCAATAGTGGGAAACTAATTGCATGCTTATATTGGTTAACTCTTTACAAGATAGAACTATACATCAGAGAGCATAGGGAAGAGAGAGAGAATAATTATCCCCAGCAGATATGAGATTTCACATTTTGAATTTAGTGGCACTTTGTATCCAATCCGTATAAATTAAAGCAGTTGTTCCAGAAAGAAGACAGCAAAATATGCCAGTGAAAAAAGGAAAATCACATTCCTTTTTAGCTTTTGCTAAGGTGTATCTAGAATAATTATTCTAATTCTAAGTTCTAATAAGGCATCAGTATAATTGTTCTGGTTTTATAGAAATGTAATGAGAGCAAAACAGCTTGCCTTGATGAAGATAATGTTATGATAATATCTAAATCCCAGGGTTTTATAATAAAGTTTTAATCTCTGTACCTGATCATATCTGTCTGTGTTTGAGCTTCCACACACTGCTTGCGGTGATTTTTCTTCTTTCTTTGAGCGGGAGTGTAAAACCTGTACTCTGATAGGAAAGGTTTAGCATCTGATATCAAGGTGCGTGGAGTAAAAGGTTTTCGGCTCTTAGTGAAGTATTCAGAGTGCCTCTCGAGAAGATCCCCGCCGCAGGCTCTGGCGTGGCTTCCGTGGCACCTCTGGCACCTCACGGTCACAAAGCTCTCGATGGAGTGGCTGCGGGGAAGTGCAAAGCGTTTCCCTGGTGGCTTTGACACACAGACACTGGAGTGTGAGTAAGGTGCCCTGCACGTATTCCGAGAACATTTCCTGATGCATTGCACTGGACTGGAGTGAACCAAGCAACCCTCGCCATAAGGAGATGCTGCTCTTGGTAGGTACTGTGCCTGCTCAGCAGAGGGTGAGAGATTGTCTTCTGCTTCCAAGAGACTCTAGGAAAAAAATAAAACAACATTTCATAATTTTTCAAGTTACCTGCTTTCATTTAGGTGGTACTCCCAGCTATTACTGCGAGTTACCCAGTTGGTAACTGGGAATTACCATCTTGAAGGTATTTTCTAAGAAAAAATTCCAGTCTTTGTAAAATCAAATGGGTTTCACAGCAGCCTCAGTGCTAACAGATTTTAAAACCTAGTCACTGGAAATAAGAGAGTAATAAAGAAATGGTTTATTTCAGTAGCAAACACTGGTGCTCTATTACAGAATATTGATGGCTACATCAAACCAAGAGTTTAATCAGTCAATTTTTAGAAGAAATCATTCCACTGAGGCAAATTATCTTATCTGAATATGCTCTGTTAATACCACTTGGGCAAGCTAAGGCAGATATTATCTATAATTATCCCATGCTTAAAAATTCAAGACTATTCCGGAATTGTATTATGACATGTGGCAAAGACAAAATAGAAACACAACTAAATTCAAGTGATATTTTAAGGTAGGGTTTTTGGTTGTTTTGATCATTTCTTTGTTTGTTTTTTATATTAAAAAGAACAATTATATAAAAGTTTTATTTCAGTCATAGAGTTTTGAAAAATTTGCAGTATCAAAGCTTAAATACCTGGACAGGGTATGCACACTCGTAATTTTGCTTTACAATGTGTTTGAAACACCTTATGAAAACAGCTGTTGTATGCTCTTTTCCTACCTATGATATTCAATGTCATCCACTGAATAGTTTGTCAATCAGTGAAAATTATGTATGACTATTTACAGTCTCTATGGGCAGGGCAGGCATACTGCAGAACTAGAAGATTAAACCAGAAACCTATCAGCAAATAAAATTTTGTATAAACCAATTTATTGCATCCACACATGTAACTATTTATGAAATTCAACAACTGTATGATGCAGAAAATATTATTCCCACTGTGTTACTCTATGTAGCACCACAACTCCCAGAGACAGGGTTTACAGTGCAACAGTTTGAGGGAGACAACCTGAGGATAGTTTTATTCTGGAAAATCTCACTGCTGTACCATGCAATCCACCAGACAAAACAACAACTGAATTATAACATCTGAGAAAACCCAAATCAGAAGCAACAGCTAACTTTCTAAAATTACTATCATACTTTCCCAACACTAGGGCAGTTTATATAGGTCCACATCATCAGCAACAAAGTGCTGTAAGATTTTAAGACAAGTAGAGGTGTTTACTAATAAGAAAATTAAATTTCTAAGGCCATTTGAGGTTTTTAACAAATTTGAAGTTTAGTTCAGCTAGGCTAACACTTGTCCATATACTTTCACCACCTGAAAAAAGAACAGGAAGATAATGAGACTCCAGTACAGACCATAAGCTCTGCAGTGACAAAAGGGAGAAACGAAAGATGATTTCCATATGTGTTTCATTCATCTCTATTATACTTCTAGCAACCAAGTAAAAACTATTAAGTAGAAGCATTATATTACTGAAGTTACTGAAGGAACACGTGCCCTATAGGGAGCCTGAGAAAGAGAGATGCAGTATGGTATAACCTATACATGTACTGTGACATGCATTTATTCATGACATACAACCATAATGCCAGTTGAGAAGATTCACAGATTCACCAAGCAGCCTATCCTGATTTCACAATTAAGCTATGTGGGAACTACTTTGAGAGAGTAAGACTGAAACACAGATCCAGTGCATTTCCAATGGGGCTTCATTGCCTGAGCACAATATAAACCTTGAGAAAATCCTCAAGAACACTTACATTTTTGAAAATAATCAGCTCATTAAAATGTGGATTGAAGGCTGGATGTGTGATTTTCCCCACCAGGAAGTGACAATCAATGAATGTCAACAAAAGTCACAAAAACAACTGTAAAAAAAAGTGCCTGTGGGGATTCTGTAAGATAATCAATACTTATCCTGAGACTTCTGAAGTCTCCTACTGGGGTAAGCATGGAGAGAAAAAACCCCAATGACCAAAACTGGAAATCTTTATCCATTTATTGAAAATTCATTACATTCTAAGCTACAAATAGATAGTGTAAGACAGTAATATATTACTAGTAAACCAGTAAGATATAGTGTACTATATTAATCTATTTAATTGGTAGTATAACTTGTAAATATACACAGATTTTCTATTCTAATATTCAACCCTAAAACAGGTGTTTCTAAAAATTCTTAGCAATAGACTCTTACTGTATAAATGCTCCATTTTCCCATAACACTGCTACTGTTGCTTAGAATCTACACGATTTCATTTTTTTCCCTTTCAAACACAATGTTTTAAATTAAAGATCAATTATGATGAATATACATTTTGTAGCATGCAGTAAATGAAATTTACAGGAATATTAAAAATGCAGGTATTTCATAATGAAAATTAAGTCACAGATCACACTGCCATATATTTCCTTCAAAACAATTTTTTCTCACATCAGTAAGACCTATCTAAACTATTCCAATACCCCAAAATATCCAGAGTTGCTGGTGCCTAATGGAAAGAAGTTTTCTTTTACTTAGCTGAGGCAAAATAAGCTCTTCATGATGGTGTCTCATGTGAGTCAACTGTATTTTACTACTACAGCATAATTAAATGCTGAACTGATAACATGCAGTTACAATGCCAAACAAATGCCTGTATTAGCAAGCAGAATAATAAGGCTTACCAGCATGATTGTTTGCATATAAAGTAATTGCAGTGGTAGCTCAGCACTATAGAACACAGATAAGACTGGAAAGTTTCAGCATCCACCTACATAGATAAAAGCTAATTCCATACCCTTCAGTGTATATTATAAACAACTTAATTCTTGTAAATGCTTTATTCTCAGTGACCAAAGCAGTTCATTGAGCTGCAACATAAATGGTATTGTAGAAGCATTTGTGAGCACATGAGGACTGGTTCCCTGCATTATGCAAAATAATTATTAAGAAAAGATAAAAAGTTGCATTAGCTGATTATTTATCTACACCTCATGAAAATGATATGTTCTGTTCCTCAGAAGCAATTGAGTTGATACAAAACAAGACAAAAGCACAAGGTTTACATGGAAATATCCTAAATTTAAGCACTCCTTACACATGAGAAGCTTAGGGCAGTTATCTTCTTCTCCTTCACAAATATGTCATAAGTAGAACAGACCAATTAGCTCACTTGTGACTAGAGAGAATTGCAACACAAAGCTGCATCTGTGTCAGCTGAGAGTTGTACTCATTCAAATACTGAGAACACAGTGTCTTTCAAAGCCCTTATCCTGAGGCAAAATTTTACTACTCAAACAGGGAGAAATACACTCCAAGTAGACAAAGAAACAATATGAACAAGGAACTCTGTCACTTCAAAAGCTTTTAAGCAGTGTAAGAGAATGCTGTTTGTCTGCAATTTGTCTCTTTTGAACTTTCAAAAAATTATCCTGTGTTGCAAAAAAACTGCAAGCATGTTCACTTTCTGCTGTTTTCTATTAAAAAATCAGATGTTTAAATAAGAAACAAAAAAAAAGACAAAAAACATGCCTACAAATAGCACACTTATTAAAGTATATTTGGTTCTATTCTTCAAACAAAATTTTAAAAATCCATTATAGCATCTGAGCTTTAGCGATTAAAACCATCAAGAACTATATCCCATGTAATTTGGAGTAAAACATCCTGACTTATATCTTGCTTATCAATATGTTTCTATTCTGTTAATTCAACTAAGTATAATCCATTTTGAAAGACACAAATCCACTCAATGATACATTTCAGCAACTCCTTTTACAAGTTTCATAAAGTATGTATTTATGCTTCAATGTTATTAGTCTTAAAACTGGGGTAAACTGAACAGTACTTTGCATTTTGCATTCAGACCTCTGAATTTTCATGGACTCTGTGGAAGAGAAAATTCAGTAAAAAGTGTTCAAAGCGTACTGCTATCAACTGACGGGCAAAAGTATTAATATAGAGGAAGAATCCAGATTTCTCTATATGTTACTTTTAATTTCTACAAGAATTTTAGTTTCGCAGCTCAAAAGCCACTAAAGTATCAGCTGCCTTATAAAAACCAGACTTTGAAAAGAAAGGTTGCTAAATACTTTTTCATAAAAGGTCCAAGGCAGCTCCCACTGGGGTCACTGAAATTACAGTAAGATTAGTTTAATCTTGAAATTAACTTGTTCTTGTATGAAAAGGTCTTCCAAGAGAATAGTTCATCTACCATTACAAAATGAGAACAAAGAGATGCCTTATGAACTGCACTGTCAGGACACAGAAGCTGCAAATTTGCAATAAATGAGTGTATGATTCTTTTTACTTGAGAAAGCCATTTAAATATTGCTCTAAGTCAGCTGAGCACGTGCTCTCTGCTGTCTGGACAGAGCAGAACTCTCCTATACGAAGTGACAAGCTGCTTTTATAGAAAATTCATCCAAATACGTGAACGAATTGGACCTTCTATAAACATATTCCGTTTGTATCTTGGTATCACTGTTTTTCAAATCTATGGTCCTGGTACACGCTTTCCTTTTCTTCATGTGTGTAGGTGTCAATTCTTTAATGTAGTAGCTCCTACTTTTATCAAATACTGTGATGGTATTTAGAAGGGGTATTACTGAGTGTGCATTAATTCAAACAACCAGTACAAGAGGCGATGGTCACTGTGAAGCCTGAAAGGAAATCTGAATATTCCCAACAAAAACAACTTTGATGCTCAGAAAGTTCTTCTGCTTTGTTTAGTCACTGACATCTCCCATTATGACAGAACCAATTTAAGCACAATAGCTGTTCAGACTGCTGGTACTATAAGAGTGCAATAAATCTTTAAATATAAAGCATTTCAGTGGGCATTTCACACAGTCACACATATGTTGCATACAAAATTAACAAGAGAATAGAACAGTTAATGGTGTTTCCCAATCTGTATTTCATATGCACAAGCAGATGGCCACAACTTTCATTCTTCATTAAAAATAAAATCTCAAAAAACAGGCTGAAAGGGATCTTGAAAGGTCAAGGCAATGGCACACTTCAAATGGTTACAAGAGAAAATTTAACCTCGTATGAATCAGCTTTACTTCAACTGACTTTTGGCATGGATTAATTTATTTAAAAAAATTCATTAGCAGCCAGAAATGCCTATTAATAGGATTACTTGAACATGAGATATGAAATACCAAGTCTTGTTCAAATCAGAGCTTTTACTCACAGCTAGCTCAATTCAGGTAGAATTTTAGAAAATCATATTTAAAAAAAAAAGGAAAAAAAGCTGCACTTTGTTATAGTGCATCCATTAGTTTTAAAGCTGGGAGTTCATGCAGTAATTAAAGACACATATTACTTGGTTTTGCACTGAAACAATTTAAGGAACTTTGCCTGCCCCAAGTTTGCAAAAAAAATAACGTGGAAGGACAAAAATGGTATTAATAAAAAATAAAATTTAGATTTTAAATATCACATTTCTTCCCTTTTCTAATTAATGTTTGTGCTTTCATCCATAAATAGAAGCCATGTATTGAATTTCAAAGCATTATTTCTCTGTACTGCAATAAGATCACACTCAGGCTGCCTGCTACAAAAATCAGTCACACAAAAAGAAACTGACAGTGTTTGTACACTACTTGGAAATGTCCTCTAGCTTTACAGCTATTTAAACAATGTACGAAGCTTATGCTGTTAGAACCACAGAGTTAAATCATTCTGTTTCAAGATGCAATTACTCATTTACAGTGATGAATAAGAATGTAATTTATTGGGCTATTTATGTATTTATTTATTAGTTAGAAATACACATAATGTATCTTGATGAAATGTCAGCCAAACTAAGCCTATGCATATAAGCAGAACACATACATACAGAATGGTATATTTTAGTCTAAGCATTATTTCTCCTTTCAAGAAATGCAACTGAATGATTTAGTATACTGTTAGATAAAAATGTATTATCAGCTAGGACTTTTCATTAAGAAAAAATGGAAGATTCCTGATTCTTTTGCTTGGAAGGGTGGAGTTAACAGAGCTCTGCCTTAGGAAATGGTACAAAGCTCTGGAGTGACAGAGGACAGGAATTTCAGCTGAGGGGAAAGCAAGAGAATTCAAGGGTAATTAGGGTTTGTATTTACTGCAAGCACTCTTCATCCAGATACCTGACATCTTTGTCAGAAGGTCAAGACATGCATTCAGTGCTGGGCACATGCCAGGCAGACCCTTGTCTACTTTCTGCTGCTTGAAAGTTACCAGCCCCCACTGCTGCACAGCAGTGATCATCCCTATACTAAACAGAATTAAAATACATACCTTTCTAGAAGAGGATGGCAGCAGCCTTCCATTGTCTCTTGGACAGGATGGAGCTTCACACACACTTATTTTCTCTCTACATTTGGCTATCTTCTTCCTCAGTTTCTCTCTTCTTTGCTGGTCAGCAACTTAGGGAAGAGACAAAGTTGGTCAGATTCAAACTGAATTATTATTTGTTTCCCTAAGTGATTTGAAAACGTTGTAGCGGTTTCCAATTGCTCAGTAAAGTCAGACTATTGAGATACATTCCACTTCCAACACATAGCAGTTATAAAATTTATGTGTACTCTTAGGAAAAAAAAAAATAGAGTATACTTGTAGCTGAAGCTGTGCCTTAACTTTCCTGAAGTTTTCTTACCTCAAAACAAACACCAGCATACAGGACTTCCATGATCAGTATTGCTAACAGAGCATTTTGCTCAAAAAGTTACATGCTTTCTATCAGTTTTTTACAGCTAGAACTCCTTTGACTGTACCCTCATCTAGTATTTCACAAAAACCCGTGTTTATTGTTAGAAAAGCTGACATGTAAAAAAATCCATGATTACAACATGGAATTTCCTAAATACAGAAATCCAGGGCAGAATAAATAAATCATTGTCAAGAACACAAAAAAAATGAAGGCCAGCTCTGAGAGGGCTACTGTAAGGTCAGAGTGAGAGATTTTTATTAGTCCACACTGGTCTGCAGTCCAAGACCTCATCTGCAGTGCAAAAAGTTGAGTCAGGCATCTGTGTCATCAGATAAAGTAGCCCAAAAGACAGGTAAATTTCCTCTTTATGAGTTTGCCCTCAATCATCTCAATCTTACATAATACAGTCCAAAGTTTTTGCATGTTATGAGGAGCCAGGTTTCACAGATGAAACAGAAAATAATTTAGGTTGGAAAAAACCTCCAAGAGCAAGTCCATCCTCTGACCAATCACCACCTCACCAACTGAATCACAGCACGAAGTGCCACATCAAGTTGTTTCTTAAACACTTCCAGAGGTGGTGACTCCATCAGCTTCCTGGGCAGGCTATTCCTATGCTTGACAAACCTTTCCATGAAGAAATTCTCTTCCTCATGTGCAACCTAAATCTCCCCTGGCACGGCTTAAGACTGTGTCCTCTTGTCCTGGCACTGGTTGCCTGGCAGAAGAGGCTGACCATCACCTGGCTACAGCCTCCTTTCAGGCAGCTGTAGTGTGACAAGGTCTCCCCTGAGCCTCCTTGTTTCCAGGCTGAACACCCCCAGCTCCCTCAGACACTCCTCCAAGGAGTGTCTTGTGCTCTTGACCCCTCACCAGCCTTGTTGCCCTTGTTTGGATACACTCCAGCACCTCGATGTCTTTCTTGAAGTGGGGGACCCAGAACTGGACAAAACACTCAGAATTTGCAAAGTTGAAAACTCAAAATGAGGCTGATGAAAAATTAGTAATTTCATTCCCAAATAGGGAAAAAATAAACAAACATACTTTTGAAGTCTGTGTAACAAATGAAAATTTTCTCATTCACTTAACACATATCCAAGTGTATGAAACATTTGTTTGATAGAGACACACTTTGAGGATTTCTTCTCTGGTTTCATAATATATTTATATCATGCTCTGGGAGACCTCATTCTGCACATGCACTACTATATTTAATGCATGGAAATGTAAAAAACTTCAGGGATTGGTGTGGTAAATTCTTCTACACAGCTGAGTCCTATAGCAATCTGAGGACATTTAATCAACCTTTAAAATGTATTCTGTGTACCCTACATATAGATTAATCTCCAGGAAATACTTAAGTGTATTCATTGTATTTAAACATTTTAGTCCCCTTTTTTAAGATGGGCTTTAATCTTTCAGATGTGCAATCTTTGCTCTCATTGCTCAGAAAAATCCCTCTTTTTCTTTCTTTTAATTCTTATAACTGATATGTAAAATATAGAGCAATTTCTTTTATGGCTACTGATTTATCCATCATACACTATTAGAGTACTTAAGAAACTGCTTAAATTACTGGGAAAAAATTAGCTGAAGTTAACAAATGCTGCATTACACAACTCTGAATTAAAAATATACATTGTAACAGAATAATAAAATATACCGTACCCTTTTATGGCTACTGATTTATCCATCATACACTATTAGAGTACTTAAGAAACTGCTTAAATTACTGGGAAAAAATTAGCTGAAGTTAACAAATGCTGCATTACACAACTCTGAATTAAAAATATACATTGTAACAGAATAATAAAATATACCGTACCATTAAATAATTAAAGTGGAATGTTTTTCTTTTTATATTGTGTCTGTTCTAAATTACTGTTATTTCTAATTTTGTTTGTCTTAAAAGTTACAGAGAAGTACTCAAAAATTAGCTACAGGTTAGACATTTCTATGTTTGAGATAAAGCATTACTTATTCTGGGCCAAAACAGCATGTCTGTGCGTGCACATGCATGGAGGCTATAGAAACTCACATCTTGCCTGCTGCTCAGGTAAAATGGTGATGGCTGACTGAACAAATATCTAGAGAAACAATGGGAACCCTACAAAGCAAAAATGCAATACATACAAGAAGTATGGGTAAGGGCGAGTAGGTGTCTGAAACAGCAAATTCCTTACACTCAGGTGCTTAGGTGAAAAGTGACTTTGCCTAAGACAATACAAACTTTAACATTTTACTGCATGTTCCACCTGCACACCATGACTTAACAGGAGTGTCTGGGCAAAGTGCAAAGCAGTGGGAGTATCACTGCAAAACAGAATTCCCATGTTGTCCTTATTCTGCTCTTTACAGGAGAAACTCAGAAATTTGACATACATGAATGCCTTTACCACTGACATTTAAAGCTGTTAAAAAAACCTCCTCCAGGATCATGTGCTGTGACTTTTCACCCAAAGCATGGCTTATATTCAAGCATAAATAATGAAAGAACAGTAGGGATTCCAGTTAAGGGTATCTTGTGATATTGAAATGAGCCACTGGGACTACCATCACCTGCATGGGAAATATGGAGTCCTTGCCTCACACCTGTCATACAGTGAGCTTAGCTCAGCTAATCCATTAAGTGTGCTCCAAAAGCCATGTGCACTTACTGAAAGGCAGCAAAGACATGCAAACCAGAATGTCAGAAGACTCCAGTATTATACAAGCCATATCAGGAATTTTCAGGCTAGATCAATGGTAAAAGCTAGGAATTTTGAAACCAGAAAAGTCAGAGGTAGAGAAATTATTCTAAAATGAGTTAATGTAGGTGCAAACAGCTGGAGGTAAGTTAGGATAGCTCTGAGGCAGTCAGCAAGTAACACAGAAAAATGCAGAAACAGGCACGGTGCCCTACCTCTCCTTAGTTCATATGTCATTTACCCATGCAAAAACTGGAGAATCCAGTCTTATGCTTTGACTTCAGCCAGATAGGGAACTTTGAGGCACTAATTACAGTATTACAACTGAGATAAGCTGAAGATACTTAAGCCTGTCATACATAACCACTTGTGTTGCAGTGTGAATATATTAACCACAGAAAGAAGGAGACCAGCATTCAAGAGACATCCAATTTCAGAAGGGAGATTTAGCTTTTAATTGAAAACACTGCTCACTCTTTAAGGCATCTTCTACTTCAAATCCATTAAAGATATAAAGCTTCTTTAGCTTTCAGTGAGGTCCATACATTTGAAAGAAGTGCCCTTGGCATACTGTCATAGACTTGTGGGAAATAAACATAAACTGCATTTGCTAACAGATACTTAAAACAGTTTCACTGCAAGTAGTTTTTATTTGAACACTGGCTCCAGGAACATGTCACATATGTAGAGTGACATATGTGACACATATGGGAATAGTACATAATAGTAAATATCTTGTGAAAAATAAATGAAAAAAAAAAAACCACTGAGCTACTTTTCATCTTTTTAAAAGAGAAAAACAAAACGTGTGGCAATAAAAGAATATGGTCTGTAAATCCAAATAATGAGTCCCTTTAGAAGTCTTATTAGCGCTTTGGAGATTAATTGTATCTTGTTAACTACTGTGCTCAAAACCCCACAGATTCATAGGACAGTAAGAGAAAATGTACTAGAATATAAACGATTTAATCATTCTGGATCAGAAAAATTCATTCTGTGAACCTAGATTCCATACCTTATTGCATCCACTTCATGAATCCATTCTCTTAATTTTGTTGTCAGTGAAAGGAAGCATAAGACTGAATTTCAGATGTTAAACTGTAGCACTCCTCATAAAGAGATACCTATAAGACACTGATCAATTTGTCACTTTTGCCTAGGCAAATACCCTTCCCAGAGGACACGACACTTCAAAGCAAAAATCACATAATTTTATCTCCCTTTTAGAATACTCCCTCTATAGGCTGAATTATTTTTCTGTTAGTCTAGACTGCAGCAGCATTTCAAGACATGCTTAGAATTATAAAACAAATGTCATAAATCTGGAAGCAACAATCTAATCATATCTATCACAGTCCTAGTCAGTTTGAAAGTTTTGCACTTAGAGGGACAGTATGATCTGCAATGCCAGTGGTTGTCCTTTGCTCTGAATTTCCAATTGCTAAATTTATCACAAAACAGTTCACAGTTAAACTTCAAGTGATTTAATTTTTGATGTAAATAATTGATGGCAACAATGAAATACAAAGTTAGATTTGAGTTCAGCTTACAGAACAATGTATCTTAAAGGAATTATCCAACACTCAGAATTTCTCCACTGTGTTTTTATATAAGCTATTTTTGCAATAACACACTTATTATTTCACAGTTATTATTTCCTTCTGAATTCTTTTTTAGATAAATCATACAAACATCATCTTGGCTGAGCTTGAAGTGCCTAGTGACCATAACTAAACTGTCCAGTATATCAACTGGTGATATTACTTCTGCAAGCAAGCTCTTCCTTCTCTAAGAACTTTTACTATCAGTTTCCTAGCATTACGTGACTTTCCAGGACACCATAATTTAAGCACCTGGGGTGAGATCTCAACAAATGAAAACTGAATTTTGCCTTTAGCTATGAAGTTTGGGTCCCTTATAAGTCTAAATCTAAATTCCTTAACATAGAAATTTTAATTTTCGTAACTCAGATGATTTTGCAGTCCTTCTTTACATCCACTATCAGTAGCACTGTATCATCAAACAAGGAAGGAATCCTCATAAAAAAGAGTGACAAAGTATTTATTAAGGTCTTGACAGTAAAGCCTGGCTTGTATCAAATACAAAGTAACGGCTATATAAGGGTATATACTTCAGAAATCTGATACTACTTGACAAAACTACTAATGGCGAAATCTGGTCATTGCTAAGACTTGGAAATAAAGCCTAATAGTGAGATATGAATCCTTCAAATGCATTTCAGAAGAGGCTAGAAGCACTGGATTATCCCAAATCCATCCACCTCTGATGCTCATATGGGCTCCTCATCCAGTAGACATCTCCTATATACTTCTGTCAGCCTTATGAAGAACACAGCAGCCTGCCAACGGTGACTGCACACAACCTCTGGAATGCTGCACCAGCCCTGAAGGAAACATCTAAGCCTGCCCAGGTAAACCTCCATTTGTGCAGCCTAGAGATAGGTCCATCGGGCTTCTAGGTGGCCCTTGACAGTGATTTTTTTTTCAAGGTACCACTGAGGCAGCCCCCAAGGTCAATTTAGACACACTGTACTGAGATAATGCTGAAAATAAGTGAAATGTATAATTTTATTCCTGTTCTCTGGTATGCTATGGCTATTTTGTAATCCTGAGTAATGGTGGACAATTGTATAAAAACAACAGCCCCCTCCACCAGCAGACAGATGGTAAAGCTGTGTAAATTTGATTAAAAATCAGGGACATATTTTCAGTAATAATGATGAATAACTACTGAAACAGCTACAAAAGGAAATAATTTTCTCTATTTCTTGACCTTTACAAGTCAAGACTGCATGCTTTTCTTGTTTATGTGTTTTATTTACCAATTCAATATGGTTGTTAAGTTCTATATTAGAACAACTCGGTTTGCTTAACTCATGATGTCAGACTAGATGATCTGAAGTCTTTTCACAACTAGAAGTTGTGAAAAATGCATTTTTGATGTACATATCTAAAATTAATTACCTCTCATAAAAAAAAAAAAAAAAAAAAAAATAAAAAAAAAAAATAAAAAAAAAAAAGAGGAAAAAAAAAAAAAAAAAAAAAAAAAAAACCCTCAACACTTCTTTTTATAGGAGAAACTTTACAGTAAATAACTTCTGGGGGAAAAAAAAAACGTAAAATCACTACAGTTAAAAGTACAGATTCATAAAGACATTTTACCTGTAAATTTTCCTGCTCACCAAATTTCAGACTTGATAATATATTAGACCACCTTTCTAAAGATATAACACAGGTATTAGAATTACCTAGTGTTTGAATTTAAAGAGCTTATTTTGGTTCCTTATAATTTTCATTTTCAGAAATACATACTAAAGGACAAGATTTAACAGAAAAAAAAAATACAGAGTGATTTTGTGAAAGCTCCCTGTAAAATGGCAGCAACAACAAAACATGTAAAACAGCTTTTCATAAATCTCTGCTTTTTCACAATGTAAAGTGCAGACAGATATATGTGTTCATGGGAAAATTGAGATTTAAACACAGAGTTACACAACAATATGTATTTCTTGATATTTCTGCTTGAACTTAACCTCTTTAAAGGGTAGAAAACCAATGTTACTATCAGTCTGAACTGTTGCCTTTCCCCATCTCTCACTGCCCTCCCTCCAAGAATTCAAGTTCCACTAGGCTAGAATAGATCTGTGGTGGGTAACTTCTCAGAATATTTGTTTTCCTTCTTTTTCTCCCCCTGCCCAGTATGAAAGAGACCTGCATTCCTAAGCACACTAATCACTGAGTTCAAGCTGTACTATCAATATGCCTTGTGGAAAAACCTCTAAACATATGGGTTGAAAAGTTAGTACTGTTAGAAACCAGGCATGTGTTGCAGCAGCTGTCTTACTTGGCATAGCCTTTGTCAAGTTTTCTGGCACAAGTTTCACAACCACAGGCTTCTAATGGCCACTGGTATCAATCAACATGCTTGGACTAATTCTGAACATAGAAGTTTCACATTTCAAGAAGTTTCACATTCTAACAACTATTTTAAGTCAGTAAGCCTGATCTAACACATAGGAACATGCTCACTGCTAGCCCAGGGGCATGGCACCTTGCCTGCTTTGCTGCCAGCTAAGATACCAGGAAAAGAACAGTGGAAACTAAATCCACTTTAAGGACAGAACACATTCAGTTGGCCAGAGAGAATGCCAACTACAGTATCATGTTTAATTCTTAAACACTAATGACTGATTCATGGCAACAACCCCAAGGGGAAATAAATACTCACCTGCTACTCTAGCAGTACATGAAGCACATTTTCAGGAGGTATTTTTTAACACTATCTGCAGGAATTCTCTTTTGTAACTCTATGCTGTTAATAAATCCTATAATTTTAAACTAAATTTACCCCCTTGCCCAAATCTTGAAATAGAGGGGGAACAGAAACTTTATTTGGAATGCAATAACTAGTAAGTCAAAGAACACAAAGAGAAAAAAGTAATAATATGCTTCAGTTGCAGCAATGACATGCTACTGAGAGAACCACTCATGAAGAACTACTGTGAGAATAAAGAGGTGCAGACCCCTCATCCTCAGTGACACTAGAGACACCGCTGATATTCAACTATATTGAAGTTAAAATTGTGCCTGGATAAATCACGTGTCTTATCTTGAGCAAGAAAGAAGAAATTGTTTTGAAAGTATTCTAAAACCCCTTTTCCGTTACTTTTCCTCCCCAGCATATTTGTAATCTTACTGCCTGAGCTATTGGCTATCATCTCCACATAATCTGTTCCACAAAATGACAGAGGAAGAGAAATGACTCTCCAGTGGTTTACCAGAGACTCTAGAAATGGTACCTTGCACTGAGCTTAACGCCTGAACATGTCACACTTGGTTGCATGGTTATTACAGTACAGAAATCTGCATTTCTTGATAAACACTGCACAGAACTGCATGAAAAGAATGTGACCACTCTAACTCCAGGTATGAAATAAAATTGAAATAATTTTTAATTTCATTATAAAAACCTAGAATTTATAAGGATAGTGCAGAAACTAAACAAGATGTGTCTGGGTAGTCTTAACTTTAAATACTGAGAAGTCAGTGAGACCAAAAATGATGAATTTCAAAGTAGGTGTTTCCCATGGAATTATCTCTTTGATAACTGCAATACTTTCAGCCTAAATGGCAGAGTTTCTTTTCTGTTTGTAAAGGAATCTTGGTCAGATGGAACAGCATATAAAGTAATGCAGGTCAGAAAAAAATATCAGTTCCATGCACACATTGAGCAGTGAAAGAAATCCTCAAAGGCTTTTGTTAAGAAAGGTCCAGGATTTTGTCTGTGCATTTGTACCATATACTTAAGATAACCCTATCTCTTGCAGTTGAGACACTTTTGCCATTGAGAAATTAACTGTCCTGCTAAGCTAATTACTGACAGCCCAGATCCATCTCTCCAGCATTCCCTTTGATGCAGATTAAATGCATCTACAAGTAGCTGAACAAACTACTTGAAAGCTGAATAAACAAGAAGAACATGAATGGTCAGTTAAGGGTTATATGCTATTGTTACTCTTCACTGGTTCTTTTGCTAAGTTAGTTTTACAGAAGCATTTGCAGAATCAACATATAACAAAAATATATATACATGACAAATACTTACATTTGATGCTGGTCAACCTACTTTTGGGCAATGAAGAGTCTACAGCTGCTGAAAATAAGAAAAACGGCAAATGTGAGTGATTCAATATTTACTTAGTATATATTACTTAGTATATGTGATAGCTACAAAAATGTAGTAATAAACCAAAACAGAACAAAGATTAATTTAATGCTTTATTCTAAAACATGCTAGTTACTGTGTACCTGAAGTATTAGGTTGTTATTAATATGGTCACAGGATTTGAGATAAAGCTCTCTGGGTAAAACACATATTTAAAGGAAGAATCATCACCTAAATGAAGACTCTTTTCAAAAGGTTTCTGTACATTTTGTTCTTATAGCATTTACCTGCATACCTGAGGATACTGAGTATGTCATGAGAGATAACATTGTGAGTATTGTATTTGTGAGTATGGACTCTGACAGTAACATGATTTTCTCATTTACAAACACACAGGGCAATTTTCACAGACCTTAGAACTTGCTATTACTATTCATTGCAAGACGAACAAAAGATCATTAAGTTTTTGAAATAAAAATAATAAAAGAAAGACATTCTGATCTGAGTTTAAGTAGAAATGTTCAAAATGTTCTGCCTTCATTCCTAAAATAATTTCTTTATGTTTGCTCTTATAACTATCACTGTGACTTTCAGTTCAGCCTATTATTTCATAATTCATTACCTCATCAAAAGCAGAATGAAGCCAATACAGCACAAAGTGCTCCAGAATTAAGGTAGGATCTTTGGTAACATTTAAGGAAAATGTTTTCATACAAAACTTGCTATCTCAACAGTACACATGTATTATTAAGTAGCAGCCACATCTCCTTGCTAACACATGTTTGGGTAAGAAAAAGGAAGAATATTAATCTAGTTCATTCCTTCTTGGTATGAGCCTATTCTGAGAGATTGAGCTAAATTTAGAGGGAGACAGTTCATTCATACATGCACATTTTTACCTTTGGCTGAAAGAATTCTGTTATAATGAATCACCATGTGATCTCTGATCATGTACTGGTTAGTTAGATTACGAGAGGGGCCAATGCAGAAAACTGTAAGATTAAAATACATTTGAACATTAGAAAGGCAAGCAAAAAATACCAGAATTTAAAAATTTTTAAAATTCAAAGTCAGAAATTTTAAGACACCATTTGTTTAACTTCTTTGCTCAAATGCAGTATTTTTTTTACCAGTTACTATCACATGAAATCATCCTTTCTTTCAATCCTTTTTCTTTCCAGAGTGAGCCATTAATTCAATAAATAGCTGCAAAAGTCACTGAAATTGTACTATGAAAATGTTAACATGGAAACTTCCTGTTGTTCACCCTATGCTCTTTTGAAAAAAAGGTATTGAGGTGTCAGTATGGCACAGAATCACACACTAGCCTATGTAAACTACTGGCTCTAAAGGAACATGTTTAACCTCAGGGGTTCTTTATGTGGTAAACATATGTATATATGTATACTACAGCTAATAGAGATGGGAGATCTTTATATATTTGTTCATCTTGCTACCAATTTGTAGCCAGCAGCACAGTCAAGGTAAAACTTACTCCTTTAAAGTAGTTTCATTAATGCATATTAAATATAAGTTCTGTTAAATATCTCCAAATAAGCTTGATGCAGAAGTTTTAATAAAAACATTTTAAGCATAAAATCAATTAATTCACATAAAAGGAACCAAGTTGACCTTCTGATGAAAGTACATGTTACTTACCATTACTTTTGTTACTTAAGTGTCCTTTAAATGGACTTGCTGGACCACATCTGGGAATGACAAGAGCTGAGCATTCATTTGCTTTAACTAAACGGGCAACAAAACCCAAAAGTTAGAGAAAAATCCCCACACATATTTTTATAGACAAGATAAAGTATTTTTCCAACGAATGCAAGAATGGTTCCAATGGATCTTTTTCAAAATCTTATTAAATAATTTTATAATCACTGAACTACAAGTGCAGTTAAATAACCTAATCTAAACACCAAGATACAGTGATAATGCTCTCAGTGGTTCAGGGAGCTAAACAGCAGAACAGACCATCAGAACACTTCAGTCTGAACTTTACACTGATCATTTAACTGTACAGAGATATGGCCATGATTCTGTTTCTATGCAAACCTTCATTTTGTTTCAAAGTTCATGGCACTTTGACATGACACTTTGTCTGTGGGAACTCGACAGACCAGTGGAGATGCCAACAAAAGTTAAACAGCCATTCTAAAAAATGAGAGAATGTAGATTAAAAAATCTGCATCTCCTCTTTGAAAACCACTGGCTGTCATGCAACCTAAGATTTAAAAATTGGCATGGGAACTAATTAAGAATCTGCAACACTTTTAGAACAAATTTGGACAGGAGATATGCTAGGATTACAAATACTAGTGTACACAGAGTGCTGCTTTAAGGCATCTAAGGTATGTAAGATATAAACCAAAACAGGATTTTTTAACAGGGTAAATATATCAACCACACTTACCTAACATTAATTCTAAAACTGTATAGACAAGTTCTACTATTAATTACCAAAGTCCACATGGTCTTCCCATCCCCACTGTACTTCTCAGCTGTCAGTTCAAGAGTGTGCAACCACCATGCAGGTGAAGTGGGTAACTCGACTGCTTTACTGCTCCTGTAGACCTCTGGCTTTTCCCGTTTCAGCCCATGAAGAAGCACACTGAACCCACCCAGTATGAGTGGGAATCTCCTCTCAGTGACCTTAGCCAGGGGGATAAAGGCAGACACCATTACAAACTGCCTGGGGGGTGCAGGGAGCTGTGATGACAGCCATGCCACACATGGCAACAGTTCTTAATGTCACCTCTCACAGCTCACCTCCTGCATGCCCAGCACCTGGCTGTTCAGGGCTTCTTTTTCATTTCCCACTGTTATACAACGACTGTTGAAGTAGTATTGCAATTACATATATAACTGCTATAGTACATAGCTCTGTTTGTAAGTTCAACGGCATGTTGCACAAGATGGTTAACATGGTGTCTTAAATATTGATTAGTAGAGATTGCAGCAAAACACATCATTCATTTAATAATGTTTTAATATTATTTATCAAAAGGCCTTATAAAAAAGCCATACTGTACTAAACTTTGAATGACTAGGACTAGTATAGGAAGCTATAAAAATATCTTAAAAGAAAAAAAAAAAGAAAATTAAAATAATTTTACCCTGTTGTGAAATGACACAAAATCAACAGATTCAACCTTTCTTACAAAGCACAAAAATTAGCAGGGCAATCTTGAATTATGTTCATACTTTGAAAAGCCAGCCTTTATACAGTACAGGCTTCTGTGGATTTGCAGTATTAGCTGTGGTGTTTGCAATAACGGTGCTCCCACTCCTTTTGCTGTGAAGTTGCCAGATCAGCAGTTGAAAAGGGACAAAGAAAAAAAAAAGAAAAAAATGCTCTTGGAGATTTTTTCAACACTATCCTGCAATTGTTTTAACTTTATATTGTTATCTTTAAAGCCAAAGGACAACACTCCTGCTCATCTGTATCGATTTCAAATGGCTCATTCCCCTCATGGTACAACTCTTCCTTATCTCCATTTGTGATTTAAACATACAAAGTGACAAACAAGAAATTATTTTTCAAATATTAAAGTTCCAAATATACAGCAAGAATTTATTAGATTTATTAGAGTCAGAATATTTCCACAATGACTGCAAACATTTCCAATAAAGCATTTCTTTCCTTACAAAATATTTTATATTTCTACCACACACATACAAGTGGTATCCACAGTCTAGCAGGATCCACCCTGAAACCCCTGTCTTCCATTATTTACAGCATGCAGGTGCTGGAAGAATGCAAATCTTTGGGAGGACTTGAATGTTAGATTATAAATTCCAGTTGATAGAATTTTCTCTAGTGATAAAAACTTGCATGCATATATACCTGCAATCCAGATTTCAGCAGACAACTGAGAATCAGAAGTGTTTCATTCAAAATTGCTCAAATAACTTAAATATTCCACTGTTCTCTGTGCTTCAGAGCTAGGCTATAATTGCAGAGGGAAGCACCTGCAGTATTGTAAGGTAAATGCTTGCAGTATCACCTCTAACTCACCCTTATGTGACAGAATCCTAGAAGGGCAAGCAGGATCACTTTAAAAAACCAGACATTGCTCTCTCTATAGTTGATTCTCTTCAAGTAAGCTAAATGACTTTGTCCCGCGTTAAACACCACAAGGGACACTCAGAAACCTGCTGCCTTTACTGTCTCCAGCTGCAGACAGCACAGTTCAGCACTGCAGGAAGGCTGGCCCTTACCATGTTCACTTGCTTTGCGTCACCAGCAGATGGCACAGTGCAAATTCCACCGGAAAAACTGTCTGCTGGTTTTGTCCTTTACAATTAATTTGTACCCGGGGAAGGAGCAGGGGGGAAAAAAAGTCAGCATAAGTATTTCACAGGCGAAAGAAGCTATCAAAAAGTGTCAGTCGGGAGAAATAAAAAATATTTCAATGCCCTCTATTTTGACTATGGACATACAGACGGCACAAAAATCAGTCTTACAATGAAGAAACATGTTGGTAATGTCAGCGAAGAAACTGGAGAATTTGGTATGTGCAGGCTCTTTCTACCTTACTGAAAGTAGAAAGTGCTAATGGTCAAAAGTTTCATAATTATAAATTCAGGTTGTCTTTTGACTTGAATGGGTATTTATTTGGATTTCAGCTGTGTTATTTGTGCAACAGCAGAAACAAAACTGAATGCTTAGATATGTGAAGAGGATTTTAAAGGAGAAGGTGGGATTTTCAGTAATTTATAGCTAATCAAATATAAATCAAACAATGGGAGGATAACTTGGAAAATACCTTTGACACATGTAACTATCTGATCTAAATGTAAATTTCCTTATAGATGTAAGTGGACTATCCACAATGAATATAAAATCAGGATTTTCATACTGACATACATAAAGTACAGAGAGCAAACAAATTAAATACTTCTAAAAATTTTTTTGATCTTTTAGCTCCTTCTGTGACACTAAGCAACAATGAAGACAAAACCAAAACAGCTTTCTCTAAAATTCTTTCCAGCTGGTATCTAACATAAGTAATAACTACATTATTCTAAAGAGAACTGAAAGATATTTTGTTTAGAGTATATATTTATTTAAATTTTAAATGCATCCTATCTGAACTTCTGATTTTACAGTATTAAAAGCTATAGAAATTGGTGGTTTCCTTTGTTTCCTGGTTGTTAGTGGATATGCAGAATTTATAGAAATGATTTTTCTACAAAGCCATTTCAGATTTGGAATGTGAATACGTACTGGAAAGAAGCCCAATCTTTCATTACCATGTTCTCCCAGAAAAGATTTTAAACACAAGTATTAGACTTACTATTTTTATAACAAGCATGTACTTCAGTCAAGCAAATGAAAATTAAGCAAATAAATCAATCACGCTACCCTTACCCACCAAGACTTGCTACTTAAAAGATAATCCATAAAAATACAGAGATGTTAGGTGGAATATTGGATATAGGCATCTAAATCTAGAACTACAAGACATAAAACCTTAACTGTGTAGAGGCCTGTGAACACTGTAATTTCCAAAAGGCAGCTCCCAGACCTTAGCCTGGGTTCAGACAACCCTCAACCCCAGGTGGATTTAGATTTCAGGTCTCCCCAGCTGTTCCAGAAGAATATGCTTATCACTCTCAATACTGACCCTTTTGTGCAGCAGTTTGGCTTTGGTGGCTCCAGAACTCGTGCATTCCTAGCTCTCTAGTGGCCTCCTCTCAGCTGGCAATGCAGAAACACCTCTGCCTCTAACAGGCTAGAACTGCATCATCCACATGAGATTTGGGCATTTGATCCCTCTGAGACTGATAAGGACCCAAGCTGACAAACGCTTTGCAAGCACTCTAGCCACTACAGTGATTTATAAAGGTTTGGTATTCTTGCTTCTTTTGCTCCCAACTCTTTTTCTTCCTTTTTTTTCTTCCCTAATATCTCAATGCTCTAAACCAGAAATTGTTTAAGAGACACCTTTGCACAAGTGGGTAATTCAGGCAACGACATGCAGAAGGTTTGTGCTGTGTATTTCATACATATCAAGGATGTCTACCACTACCACCTTAATTCTACCAACCAGTTTTATGACCTCTTCAGTGGGCTTCCTGCTATGAATTAACTCTTCTAATTCTAAACAATTAACAGTACGCAACAACACTAATGCTGTACATATGCTGAGGAAAGAACAAAACTCGTTTAAGGAATCTCTGTGAAACTCAAAGTTACTTCAAGCAGTCATGGAAACTCCTTTAAGCATTTTATCTAATATATCTGACAAGGTCATACCTAAAGGAACTGAATTACGACCTGAAATACATGCTCCTTGCCATTTGGTACTAGGAGAATTTTCAAACCGGAGTATCCATTAATTCTTTATGCTACAGAAATTTTTGTATATATGAATACAACACAGAAATACACAGACGAAAGATGATAACTCAGAGTACATTAAAAGATTAACCTAGTTATGAAAATCCACATTGGATTTAAACTTTATTTAAATAAAAACTATTTTTTTCTGGTTTTAACTATTTTCCCTTTGTATTAGCATGATATATTAAAAAAACCCCATATTCTTTTAGTAGTACTACTAATGAGGCCTGCTCTCCTGTTCATGTAGCTTACATCTGAACCATCCCCCTTAAACTCCTTTCACTGTCCCCAGTTTGCTGCCTCTTCTCTACCTGTGGCCATTCCTCCCCTCAAACACGCCCTACTTGTTCAGCTGTGGCTGATGAGGTGCTATAGGAACTACAGTTGGTCATCTAGTTTAAGATTCTCTGGTTGCTAATCCTTGGCTGCCTTGAGATGCAGAACTGGGCAGACAAAAAGGCCAGCAGAGAGCAGTGACCCGCCCACAGACTCCTCTAGGCGAAGAACACAGGTGCAAACATGGCAAGTCTCCACTACTTTTCTGCAGCACCTATGCAAATGCAAGAAGCCTTCAAACATGGCTTTAGGTTTAGCCACTTACTGAATGCAGACAGTATTCCATTTTATTTGAAAGTTACAGTGAGGCAAAACAAGCATGTCATAATCACACCTGTATTTCCTTTCCTGTTCATGCAAGTGAGACAAAAGCCTCTTGGATCTCTTTCTGGTTTCAGTGACAACAAAACTCTTATCAATACTGCGAGAATAATGTCTCACATGTGAAGCCATCTTTAAAATAATCCCGTTTAACATTTGTTAATAAATAGCAGAGTTTACCAGCAGAAAGAATAGTCATTATTATCTAAACTTCCTGAAGCAATAGAGACCCAGGAAATCACAGTACTCCGATTTTGAAATAAAATCCCAAACGTTTCCTCTGAATTTTGCGTAGGATCAATTGTGTCATAGGCAAAATGTGACAAAAATTATACACCCCCTGACAAGCACTATACATAACCTCCTAAGCCATTAATTAGATAGGTGCTATTTATACACTTACTATGCTGGATTACACAAAAGCTCTTCTTTACACATACTCTCAATGCCTAAGAGTTAGGTCTGTCAGACCTTTAGAATTAATAATCTTACAGTATTCTGTATTAATTAAAGCCATGCAACCAAAATTGTATTTCAGTTTCAAGAGTCAAGCCCTCATCTGAAAAATTTAAGAAATCTAATGAAATAATACTGTTGCCTTCAGTCATATCTGACTAAGTAACTCTGGAAAAATATTTTTAAAAATTTTTCTAGCTACAGGTTTCAGCAAGGTAAGTTCTGGATGCAAACTATTGCTCTATTCATACTCCAAAAGCAGAAACAAATGGCTGTGTCAGTAGCACATTTTGTGATATGAACTGCAGGAAAAATTAATTTATGTTAGTTTGCTACAACTGCCTGAAAGGAGGCTGTGATGAGGTGGGTATCAGACTTTTCTCCCAATCACAATATATAATTTACTGAGTGAAGGTTTTACTTTGGTAAATTAAAGTAAATTTGGTAAAAAGTTAAGAATATTGATTAATATTTCCTAATTTCAGTTAAAATTATTAGGATTCAAATAAAACTTGTAAATATTTTTCCTTCTTTGAAGATATAACTAGATAATTTTCTATCTTTCTTGTTGGTCAAAGAAAACTTCAGCTTCTACAAAAACTGGTGCTACCAAACGAATAATTTA